GGGGGGGGTAGCCATTTTCTCTTCTCCATTTCTACAAATAATACAAGTCAGAATGTTTTGTCAAGAGATACTGCCTGTTATATCCTCAATATTCAAGTTTTCATTTTGTGATTGCACATGGAAATAGACTTATAAATGAACACTGTATTAACCAAAGTACAAATGTTAATAAAATGACACTTTTAACTAACAACTATACTATTCTGTTGTATTAAAAAAAAGGAAAATTTTCACAGCAAACTAGTCTCAGAGAATATTTTTCTGTTGTATTAAAAAAAATTGACAGCAAAATAGCTTCAGAGGCTCCTCTTAATTTATGCTTACATAAATAACCATATAATAATAAATATCTTTATCTTTACGTGGCCAGGATAAGAAGTTCACCCTCACCATGGAGGACCTCACACCTGCCTTGGCAGAATACGGAATTAATGTGAAGAAGCCGCCATACTTCTCATGAACAGTAAAACCAGTGGCAGCACAGCAGGGATGGTATTAGCAAGTCTTGTACTCAAGAGACAGGGGAAGTATCTTGCTAGGAGAATTATGAGACTATTTTGAGCAAACAAATGCTTGAAGTATCCAAGGCATGTGTAGACGTTAGACGAAAAAAATGAAAAAAAAGATAAAAAAATAAAAAAAAATGCTCAATGACAGGTGGGCAGATTTGAATGACCTTTTTAAGTCCTTGATCTTTCCATCATGACAACATTTTTCTTATTGGACACTTCATCGATTGATGTAAACTGAGTGATCTGGCTTCAAAGTTTTACTAGGAAGATTGTTGTAAGATGCGGGACTTAGGCCCCCCCCCCCCCCAAAAAAAAAAAAAAAAGTGGGAAGATGAAGTATAGTGAAAACAATGGAAAGTACACCTTTGCAATTGTTAGCTGAAATCAGGACTCGTTGGTGAAATTAGGTACTGTGCGGTGGTTTTGTAATATTTTTATTTTTGTAAGATGGTAAATATGTGTAGTTCTTAATAAATTGACTGTACGTCTGAAAAGAGGCTTATTAACTCGCTTTTATTTCCTTGGCAACCGGTATTTGGTTTTACATCACAGCTTAATTGCCTATATTTAGTTGGCAATTACTTAGAATTCTCGGCACTTGAAGCTCCCCCCGAAGTTCGAGATTTCCCTGACAACATTGCTTATAATAAGCTAACTCCATTAGTCGGCTTAAGGTGAAGAAATCATCTAAAAATGGTTATTGGAACTTAGTCTACTATACACTCACGTTATAGTTTTGTTGGCTGTGCTTGACGAATCTTTGTAAATCTAATACATACGACAATGAAATTTATTATTCTGATCAGAACGCGTGTATGGTGTACTTATTTTACATATGAAGAAACTTAGATTTACGGCATTGTGTGTAAAAATAAAATGTATTACGCAATCCGTGACCATTTTCAACACGTGCTAGGTATCTATCACGTGTTCCTTTACAGTTAAACAACGCTGTTTAATAACTTTTTATGTTGCTTATATCATTATTAAAAGTCCAACCAATGCAATACGTGGGCATCTTGAAATAATTACACCATATTACTAAAACCCTTTTTTCGCGGCAACGCACTGCTGAAGAAGCTGTATGATGCAATGTCGTCTCATATACTATCTATTCCATATATGATGATGTTACTTAAACGCGATTCTAATTAACCTTATCACCCAATTCCAGTAAAGGAGGTATTTTATTTTGGGATATAAAATTCCGAAGTTGACGGTATAATATCGGTAGTCACGTCCAAGAAGACGGTATTAAGTACAAAGAGAACAAGATGGTCAACATGACTGCACGATTTCAAGAGGATTATTACCACGAAAAATCAATTCTTGGAATACAAATTGCCCACTGTTCCCTGAAATATCCAGATGGAACATTTTTTTTTTTAAGAGACTATTTGATGAAAAAGACTGCTGCTGGACTCGTCACCCCCCCTCCCCCAAGCTGCGGGGATCATTATGCCGTCTACTCTGACCACAGGGGCCGCTAGTAGTCTCTTAGGCCCCATTCAGAATAGGGGACTAACTAGTCCGAGGGTCAAATATGGCCGTCCCACTTGAATACGTCCTCACGGGATATCTATTCATTGTCTATTAGCGGATTAGACGGCAAGCTTTGTAGTGGGTCGCCATATAAGACCCTCTGACTAGTAAGTCCCCTATTCTGAATGGGGCCTTACATGATTCAATTGCGTATACTGTACTAGAGACCCCTGTGAAAACAGATGATAGAAACCGTAAGCCTCTTTCATATTTACGATTATTTATTTATTGTCACAAAAGCAAAGTCACGTCATTTCTGACCTCTTACAACGTGCTCTCACCTGGGAGTAAATTAACCGAAGGATTCTGATTTTCCATAGGTGTGATGTCAGTATTAACTTTAGAAAAGTGAGTTAGGGGCAAATGCGGAGATTCACCAGTACACTTGATGTCAAGAAAGGAAACATATCGGTACTCTCTCCTTTTAAAGCAATATATCTACAACGCAATATCTATCTATTTATTTATTTATTAAGAGTATAAACATGGTAAATTAAAAAAGTGTCTTCCCGATGGCCCTGGTATATGAAATAAAGCGATTTTCCCAGTTGAACTCTAGTAAGGCGTAGATGGTGAAGTTAAGGTGAAGCTGCCAGTCACTGCTGGCTGCGTTGAGCAATACCCAATGACGTCGTGTCTGACGGCCTTTCAGGTACTAAAAACTGACCAAATATAAGCTGACCAGTAGCGGATTTAGAGGGGGGGTCAGGGGGGTCTTGACCCCCCTTTCGATTTCTGAAAAAATCACACTAATGGTTCCCTCTTGGAATTATAATTTTGACAAGCTGAATCATAGTTCTTAACCGTACCAAATGGCACCATTCGCCCTAAAATATCAATTTTTTTCGGTGCCCGCTTAATGGCCCCCGAACCCCACGCCAAGGGGGGGTTCCCCCTGCAAATAATCCTGGATCCGCCCCTGCTGACACAGGGAAGATTCTAAATGCTAAGTCGGTTCCGAAGGTCACATAAAGTTCTCTCTTGTTTCATGTCACAGCTCTAGTTGTTATGAACAAAGGGTTGTATTACCTGTGACTTGGATATACTTTGTCGTGTAATTACTAATAGATCACTGCAGCCAGGTAAAAATAGTTATGTAACATGTCGCTTCCTGTGGTTATAAGAAGATTGTCTTCAGATTCGTTTCTCGACGAAGACATCGCTGCTGTAAACATCGGATTAAAATGTGTGTGTGCCTCGACAAGTAATAATTATTACCAGACTGTATATACACATAAGAAATGGAATACATTTATCATCATATTATTAATAGAATTTGTTTGTCTGAAACTTCTGTCTCATAATCTTCCAGACAGAGAACTTACTGCGCAATTTCTTTAGCACAAAGTAAGTTTTTGGCTCGTTCATCAACAATCACTCAAAAATCCAACGCGAATCAGAACCGGCTATATGTTTACGATTAACTTTAATCAAAACCTCTTTAAAAATTTGAATGTTCCATCTTTTATATGCACGTACATGTAATATTTGACCAGATGTGAGCAGCCGCGTTACTCACAAAATGTTTTCACAAATTTACGTAAACATACATTAAGAGAACTTATTTTAAAAAGTCACACTGGAGGTGGGTGGGTTCCAAAAAACGATATACATTATCAACTCGTTGTACGATTCTAACATAACGAATGCAGACTTAATGTTTTAAGTGCCATTAGCATCTGTATGTGTGTGAGACTACACACTTTATAATCCTTTCACATATTATATAAGGCGGTTATATGAATCATAACTCAGATGTAATTAGCCAGGTGCAGAAAGTGCGTGACATTTTTCTGAAAAATCAAATTGCCTCAAATTGCACTACGTTGGTGATTAGAAACAGAAGCAATTAACACATACAAGCACGTCCCGTTTTTCTGGAATATCAAACTTACGTTCTTAAAAACAGTTGAAAACATTCCATGCATTGATCCCCCCTCTCCGAATTTTTCATACACCTAATGTGTTTTTTTCATATCTCATGTCATTAACTTTCACTTTCACTGATCAGTCACATGTATCAAACAGACGCCCCTCAATGGATGTCTTTAAACTTTAATCTTCTTAACCTATCACAGATGTCCAGTTATAAAAAAAATAGTAAAAGTCTATGAACTCCGTTGACATATAACATTTGATTAAAATCAAAAGAAAGAAATTCACACACACACACGCACACAAAAGAAAAATAAATGAAAAGAAAAACTATTGAAAGGACCTTTGTTTCTGAAGGAGGAATCCAGTTTACCAAAAGGTGCCTACGTTTATGTATGATTAGATTGCCACTGTATATCCTGGCAGTTCCATGTACATAATTGATACGGTCCTTTATTAATTTAATCAAAATCAATAGAAAGAAATCAACAAATAAAAGATACACAGAAAAAAATGATTCAAAGGATCCTGACGTGCATGGGCGCGGATCCAGGATTATTAGAAGAGGGGGGGGGGGGGGGGGTCAGGAGCCCCCTGAAACACCCCTTAATCCGCCACTGACATGCATGCGTATTGTAACGATAACAAGTCACTTTATTCTTTGTTCTCTGTTCATTCAGCTACTAAAAGTAGTTGTTTTGCGTGAACTGAAAACCTATTTCATTCTATCACCTACTGTTACATCAAGGCAAGAGATCGATCCCTGTTTCCTTAGTCTTAATGACGTCAATCCCAGGGGTGTACAAAACCAAGGTGTTAACTACCCTAGCTTGTTACTGGAAGAACAGTTACACGTCACTGTGCAGACTCCGATAAAAATCTGTACGAAAACAGCCTTGTTTAGTCTGAAACTGGAAGCGAAGCTAAGGGAACTGGCGACAGGGATTTAGAAGGACAGGGTTATTATCTACTGGTCCAACAGACAAGTGACTATAGACAGACTTTCAGTTTAGTTTTTAACTGCAGCTTCACAAGTTGCTTTCAGCTAGAAATCGAAGCTCACCTCGAAGTCATGATGTCGACCTCGCTCACTGCATGCCTGGTAAGTACCGCTCAAGTGAGCGATGTTTGCTTTTTAGACTAGATTTAAAAAATCTATAATATTATTTATTTATTTACATTTTTATTCATCATGTTACGTATTTTACAACTGGATTTTAGGCACGATCAAATATTTCCTTGAAAGAAGTATTTAAACATCACTTTTTCACAGGTTGTTTTACGTGTTTTATGAATTGATTCTCATTCATTTTAAAGATTCACTTTTTACGCCTGTTAAAAGTGAAACTAACACCATGAAAAACAATTTTTTTTTGTATAAATTTCATTTTTTCTGAAATATTTTAATGCAGATATTTTCGTTCTGTTGTATGATAATTAGCAACCGTTCATCATTAAAATAGGTATAGTCGTCTATCAAAATACCCAGAAAGCATATACATGTAGATCAGAACGTGTTTCATCAAAAAAAAAAAAAATCAATCTGTATAACAAGCACCAAGACAAAAGCACCAATTAAGTGTTATTTTGGTGTTATTATCTTCAGATTTTGTCAAGTGCAGTATTCTTTACGTCTCATGCGTCATCCTCTGCAAACAAATCCGTGAAGAGCGTGACGCTGCAAGTTAAAGACGCTGAGCACCGCGTGACCAATTCTGTTAAATCCGGAGAGAAGGTTTATCTGGAAATAGCATCCATTGTCCGTAACGGTGAGAATAAATACTTTGGAACTGCAACAGTTAGATACATACAGAGATGAATAAAGATAAAGAAGTTCAAGTACATAACTCTATTATTCTGTATTGCTGGTTGTTTTTCATAACAGCATCACTTTAACAATAAGTGCTAACCACCACACGCGATCACGAGTATTACCGCTGTATCCACACGATCTTTAACGATAAATAGATTAATTATGTTTTCTATAGCTCAGAGATCTGTGTCTTGTAAAAGCCAGAGTCATATCTCGTAAAACATCAGTGTGTGACCCTGCTGGTGGGTTGTGTGGAAACATGTCAGCCCCGGGGGGAGGTGGGGGGGAGGGGGGTTCAGCGGTGCATCTGTGAGCGGTAATGCTAATACTCGCGAGTGATAGTTAGAGAAAGGAAAGGAGATTATGTATGATAGATTTTAATATAAATTTTAAAATGCGTCAATTTCATGCATGTTTTTGAACCTTTAAATAATGTATACATTTGCACTCTCTAGTGCTATTCTAAATACTAAAATTGAAAATTGGCTGTGTTCGACATTTACAGAGGTCTCCCTGCTTTAACACTGGTCTTTATGAATAGGTATTGCACTGTAATAGACATATTTCGATTTCGTTGTTACCAATGCTATATATTGCACTTTAGCTACCTCCAGCGTAAAAGTGAAATCGTGCCAGGTTGGTCCAACAGTGGAAACCATTGATCTGATCGGCGTCACCATTCTGGATTCTTAGTAAGACATAGAACGAACACTTGTATAACTTCATTGCCTTCGAATGGGTCATTGCAAGAAAAAACTTGTGTATACGTACTTTATAGCCATGCTTTTTTTCACCGCAAACTATCAACTGTAAAATATGGATTATGAGACGACTTTTAGATTTCGAACGATTGTTTTTTGTTACGCCAAAAATATTGACATCGCGTAACAGTTCGGCAACTGTCGTCCCTTACTTGACAGGTTTCACTTTCGTTTTCAGCTGTGGGACCTCTACTAGAGGTGTCTTTAGCAGTACGTCTGGTTTTGATGGGCTAACAGTGGACACAGCAGGGGCCGCGTGGGATGTCGCCCGATCTCCACTGTTTTCTGTGTTCACTTTTGCCGGCTACGATTCCCTGTTCACACGATGCCAGGTGGTTTTCTGTGTTCCCGGCAGGCAGGAGGCATGCCTAACGGTATGTTCACTGGTTCTATCTCCAAGAACCAAATATTATATTGTTTCGATGTTTTACAGGTGCCCTATCCAGGTTTTCTCACCAAATCGAATTTCTCGAGACAGAAAGCAAATTTTCCTACTGACGATCCATTGCTCGACTCGTCCCTGAATTTGTGTTCGATGTTTTGTACCATTTCTAATTAACTAATTTAGTTAAAGTAAAATTGTCTTCCGACTAGTTTTGCATTTGCCACGCTTCGCTCGACTTTTTTTGTGCACGCCCCCCCCCCCCTTTGCACAACCCTGGATCCCTCTAAAGTTTGAGATCCACAGTTTGGAAAAACAGGACAATGTACAGAATTATTCGCGTTGTGAAAAATCTTCCTGACCTTACAGAGGGCAGTTTGATTTGGCTTCCCCAAATTTATAGATATTGATATGTAAAGCAGTTGTTACTGATACTTTTTTTATCGGATCAGACCAATCAATGCACGGCCGCCACCGAGAACAGGACGAGAGATATCCTAGCCGAGAGTGAGGCAAATGAGACGGTACATGAGGTGTATGCGCTCGTCTCTGTTGCGCCTCAAAGTACTACCAGTGCGCCATACCATCCTTCAAGCCCTTTGGTACCACCTGCGACCAAACCTGCGACCGAGTCCGGTAAGGCGGCCTACACACACTGGACAATAGAGGTGTCACCTCCTGAATCAGAGTAATCAAAGTTATAAACCTGAAGAGGCGGAATATAAGCAATGTCAGAATATCGATACAGTTGAATTGTTCAGTCAGAACCGTTTCTTTTGTGAAATTTGATGTTATTCACAGTCATTTATCTCCCCAAACGTACTGGTTCAGTGGGGGTGACACTTCTATTGTCCAGAGTGTGCAAGTGGTGTGTCGGTGCATACTACGCGTACTAATAATCTCCCTAGAAACATTGGAAGAATTCGATCGAAAACGCATTTGAAGTAATTATACCAAAATGCAGCTGAAAAAAACCGAGTGATTTTTGTTATTAATCAACTTAAGAAATTTAACATCACATAAAAAAATTCAAAGTCGCTGAAATGCTGTTAAATATCTCCCAGAAGCGCCCCTTTCAAGCGTTTCCCAATTCACGTTCCTGTAACTAACAAATACATGCTGTGCCACTGTTAATGCTCATGTACGACAGAATATGATGGGCATACGGTATCCCCACAAATATTGATTTCGTATACGTATTTTCCTCCTTTCAGACCCAGCTTGGCTCACCACAGTGACAGACATCTTGTTTTATGTCCTTGTTGTGTGCTGGTTCTTGGCTCTGATCATCCCCGCCTTTGGCACTGCCATCCTGATGTCAAAACTGAAGGCGGACGAGGTCAATGCTAAATCACTGGGAGAGAAGGCCAAAATACCCGATGCGGAATTTCATATAATATAATATAATGGGTTATGTTATTAAAGGACACCGTAAAGCTGCAGCTGTTTTGGTCATGGATATAGAGCACTTGTAAATCGTGCATGTGTCGGTGGAATCGATCCTGTACAAAGAGAGATGATTGAAAATGTGTGACATATAGCTTATATTTAACATATAATCCAATTTTAGAAATAAAGGACAAGCGAGGGACCAAAATAGGACTCTTTCAGCTTGTTTTGCTGATGTTAAAACAATGATTTGATCAAAATGACCTATGTGATAGTAATTAAAAAAATTCACCGCCATCAGGCCAAGAAAGTTTCAAATCTTGAAAGGTATTACAAACGGGTTATCATTCCAAAAGCCAGGCCATGTAGGCCTACTCGTCATATGCCCCTCGAAAACAAGTGTGATTTTCATCGTTGGCTTACAACAATTTATATATTCATTTACGGACTTATTAAAATGAGAATTTACATGCTGTTTTTTCTTCTTTTTTTAAAAAATTATTTCCTTTTGCAAAGAAGTTAACATGTTTTTCAACGAGTATTTACAACTCACCAGTGGGCCATATTTGTTTTATTGTATAAATACAACGTACATTCACATGATATGTAACATAAGACATCACAAAATATACATCAGCGTCTTTGATGAGCTTAACTTTTGATAAGTACTGTACAGTTTTAAGACTGACGTCTTTGAAAAAAATCCCTACCTTATAGATATCGTATTAATTACTAAACCATCTACTCCCGAAGATTTGATTTAAAACATTTACATTTGATTAATACTCGTAGAAATCAAAACCTTTTTTATCTATCTTTTAAATTATTCGCATTCAAAGCAGCAAGCATGCGGTAGTGAGTGGTTTCTCAACTTCACAAAAGAGTTCGATTCATTGCCGTAATAAAGTCTTTTCACAATCACGACAAGCCGTTATCAGGTCCTGCTATTTGAGCCTACTGCTGGAAATGGATTTGGGTTTAGTGGCTGTGGTCCTTGGTTTCCAGACACTCCAGGGAGGTTCTTGGGAATATAGCCGAAGCTTCCGCATCGTCCACCAGCGCACGGGAATGGGCCGCCTCCGCCACAAGGTAGACATTTCATAGCCATGGAGTAAAACGGCCCACAGGGGTAGCACATGGGGTACGGGCCGACCGTGACATTAAATTGGCCGCCCATACCAGAACCGTCTGCAATAAAAAAAACCCCTTAAGTCTAAAATTGGTCTTTTTCATGAGACTAAAAGTTCGATTAAAGATGCAGTAAATCTGTAGAGGTCCTGTGAAATTAAATAATCAATAATCTGAAATTTAGTCATTTTACTTTGGTAAAACAGGATAGTTTCCTCACTCATTACTTCTGATTTGCATTGGGTCAGAGTAAAAAAAAAAAGTACGGAATTAACCTGCCAAAAATGAACCATTAAACATTCCTGTCTTTCGGTGAAGACAGTTAGGCTATACCTTCTAACTTGTAGCTTCTTTTGCAAAAGAGCTCGTATAAAGTTGAACTTTGGTATGGATCATTCGTAGTCAAACATTGAAAGACAATTTGAAATTCAAATTTTATTTGAAAGGCCGATTAAGACTACTGTTTGAAATAATCCGTGTAAAGATCAGTGCTCTGGTGTACGAAGGATATATACTCCCACCACTTTTGATCGACTACCTCATCTGTGGTCCATAATGGTATATATATATATATATATATATATATATATATATATATATATATATGCCACCACTATAATAAGATCCTACGTACCTGCGCCGGCTGGACCTGTTGGACCGGTAGGGCCTTGTGGACCAGCTGGACCAGTGGCTCCACCTGACCTGCCTGCTGGACCCGTGGGTCCTTGTGGACCTCTAGGACCACCCGGTCCTGCTGCACCTGCTGGGCCTGCTGGACCTAAATACCAATGATATCACATTGAATAAAATACATCCAGTTTTCAAAGCATCATGCGCACATATGTAGGCCTATAATGTCTATAACCGATCATGATAAACGGTTGGTATATAATAAGTGACTGGGACTTTCTACCGTTTTTTTTTTCTCAAAATTATTTTCACTAGGCTTATACTCTTGACGACAAGAACGTGGTGCGTCACGAAAAACAGACACATCACATCTACGGAACCCACCGCACCCTGGTGGCACATTGATTTTTTAAAGTACACCGATGGACGCTTGAAGACATGTTAAGTAATTGTGTTTCCCATCACTCTTCCTTACCTCTCGGACCTGGTCCCCCAGCAGGACCTCGTGCTCCTGCTGGTCCACGGGCACCTGCTGGTCCTCTGTCCCCGGCAGGACCTGTAGCGCCAGGTGGTCCTCGACCTCCTGCTCCAGGACGACCTTGTGGACCTGTGTCTCCCTTAGGTCCGGCTGGGCCCACTCCACTTCCGGCAGGACCTCTCGGACCTGGATCTCCCTTAGGTCCAGCTGGGCCTGGAATGTAGTTCGTATGTGGAGAAAATTTAATAAGACATATATAGAAATAACACAATAAGGTGCCGAAAAATAAGTAAATAAACAAGCTGTTTCAAAAAATGAATGAATAAATATGAATAAACTAGGGTCCATTGTACGTTTGCTTGATAAAAAGATTAAAAAAGTGGTCAGTAATTACAAAAATGTTAATAGCTAGATACATGTTATCCTGGTTTTCTAGATATTTGAGTGTTGAACTCACCTGCCGGTCCTCTGCCAGATTCTCCAGTTCTACCTTGTGGTCCTCTTGGTCCAGTGTTTCCTCGTGGACCTAGAAATCAATAACCCATGTCAGCTCTCCACCGAACCGTACAGGTTTTATATCATCCTAGAAACCTTTTGCAGTAGGACAAAGAGTATAGTCTAAGAAGCAGAACAATCAGCTTACACTAGATAAGAAATTTCTTTCAAAAACATTTCCTGCATCTAAGTAACTCTTACCCGCTGGTCCAGCCGGTCCAGCTGGGCCCCTAGCACCTCTTGGTCCTGCTGGACCTCTAGGTCCGTCAGCGCCTGCGTTACCCTTGGCACCAGCTGGTCCTTGCGGTCCGGTTGGACCTACGCTTCCTACGCCAGCAGCTCCGGCTGGACCCCTGGGGCCTGTCGCACCCGGGCGGCCATCAGCACCATCCCTGCCTAAGAAAAACAATTATGTTTACCGGTTAGTTTATTAATAAACATCTTTTGATCAACGGGGCCAGCGGCTAGATGTCTAGGTTCTTGTCGATATTTGTCAACTGCCGTGTTGACCACTTTTAATTTGCCACTACTGCTGTTGTATACCCGTAGGCCCCCTAATTTACGGATTCATATTATCATTATGGCCATTATTGGATCTTTACAGTGAATCTGTTATGCTGGTCTTTGTGCAGTTTGCCTACCTGCAGCACCAGCTGGTCCTCTAGGTCCAGGATTTCCGGCAGGACCACGTGCGCCAGCTGGGCCTCGGGGGCCTGCTGGTCCAGATCCTCGTGGACCTGCTGGACCGGTGGGACCTTGGTTACCTAAATGATGAGGAAAACAATGGCATATATAACTGTAAATACAATATATCATTTCATAAGGACAACACGGCATTTTATCTGATCAATAAGTAAGTGACATTTGGTGAATAATTTTAAATTTGTCGACGTAGAAAAAAAGTAATGAATGAAAACAGATGAAGGCAAAATGCTACAAATAAAAACTTTTTAGCGGAACAGCACATTCAAGGATTACCCACGGTATCTAATATATATTCATAATCACCATATCAACTATACATGTATGGCCTTTTTGTCATTTTGTCACCTGTGTATTTACTCAAGAGTGCCGTTTAAATAGTAACATAGAAAAATGTTGGACATTTTTCACCTTTAGGTCCTGCGTCTCCTCTGGCACCTGCTGGTCCTCTTGCACCAGGAGCGCCATTACTGCCTGGTCTACCTGCGGGTCCCCTGGGGCCTGTTGGGCCGTCACGCCCTCTACCTAGTAGACACAGAAACAAATGTCTTATTAAAACGTGTATCTCCAGTGTCTTGCAAATGACGTGGTAGGACACAGCGGCGTCTCTGCATTGACACCCAATTTGTACCAGTCCAGAAGATCTTAATACCTTCAGTATTTGTGTGCATAAGGAGCTGTACACGATATAGAATTCATGCAAAAATGATTGTGTAGGGTAAAGCATCATTGTTGGAATGTATATTTAGTATGACTTCCATAAATCTAATACAAATGTTGCCAAGCACCCGTTCATGCCATACACATAGCCTATTTCATATATTTAAAAAACACAACTCTAATGTCCTCCGTTAAAAGTATCCAAGTTAGCTGGATCTCCCACGTAATTTGCTAAGACGTAGGTGTTAATTACCTGAGTCTCCTGCAGGACCTCTCGGTCCTTGTGGGCCAGTGGGGCCAGCTGCTCCTGGTCGACCGTCAGTTCCAGCTCGTCCAGCGGGACCAGCCGGACCGGCGGGACCTCGGGCGCCGTCATTGCCTCTTGCACCGGCGGGACCTGACGGTGAATTGTTAACAGTGATCTTTCTCTTCAAATGAAATCTACTTAAGCTTAGTGTGCACAACATGCACATCATAAACGAAAAACACAGTAAAGCAGAATGGTTGGGTAAATAATAGTTATTTATATAATAGTTTATTGTTCCTTACTGTTGACAGTGGCAATTTTCGTACGACAAAAAGATATTTTCTTTAAGCTATTGTTTGCAAACATCCTCCCAAGCAGCACTTGCGCCATAAAATAACTTCATATGAATAAAAGATAATACAAGACCCACCTCGCGGTCCGGCGGCACCCGGTCTACCGTCGGCTCCGTCACGTCCTGCGGGCCCCCTAGCGCCAGCGGGACCTCTTGCCCCAGCGGCGCCTGCTGGACCACGGGCACCTGTCGGACCTTGTGCTCCTTTAGGACCAGTGGGTCCTACTACAACACGGCCGCTGCCTGTTGGACCTGAACAATGAAATACGGTATAAGTCAGTACATGCTGCTTGAAATTGTGATATCTATCAATATGTTTCTCTATGTTGCAAGCTCAGATAGTGTGACATGTTTATTGCGAAGTATACGAACGTTGCTGACAACGTCTATGCAAGCAGATAAGCTAAGAAAATGTATTCGGACCTACGTACAACGAAAGAGTGGATGAAGGCTGTGGCAGCAATGGTAGTCCTAGGAATGGAAGTCTGGGGCCCCATATGATAAGTGCAAGTTAGGGTTAGTTGGTGTAAATGGGACGAATGTCACCTGTACAAAGTACTGGGGAACGGACTACGGTTCCTAGCGGACTACCATTTTTGTAACACCGTTTTTAAACACTTAAAACACAACAATTTTTGTTACCCACCGTACTTATTACCCATACAACTACAGATTGACTTGGAAAGTCAAAATAACCCGTCCCCCGGGCATATTCTCACCTGTAGGACCAGCGGGGCCAGTAGCGCCATCTCTACCATTGCGACCATCGGCACCTGCAGGACCACGAGGTCCGGCGGGACCAGCTGGTCCTCTAGCTCCGTCACTTCCTGGTCTTCCTGCCGCACCTGCTGGGCCACGTGCACCAGCTGGACCGGTCGCACCTGGTCGACCGACTCCTGGGCTACCAGCAGCACCTCTGGAATAGATTGACACACAATGTGAACTTGCTTTATGACTTATATACGATAACGAACATGCTAGAGTTTGGCCTTTTTAACTCTTTATAGTCATTTTACGGTGGACACTAAGAATAAGAAGAACATGTCTATAGCTATCCAATTCTCTGACNCACCAGCTGGTCCTTGCGGTCCGGTTGGACCTACGCTTCCTACGCCAGCAGCTCCGGCTGGACCCCTGGGGCCTGTCGCACCCGGGCGGCCATCAGCACCATCCCTGCCTAAGAAAAACAATTATGTTTACCGGTTAGTTTATTAATAAACATCTATTGATCAACGGGGCCAGCGGCTAGATGTCTAGGTTCTTGTCGATATTTGCCAACTGCAGTGTGGACCACTTTTAATTTGCCACTACTGCTGTTGTACACCCGTAGGCCCCCTACTTTACGGATTCATATTATCATTATGGCCATTATTGGATCTTTACAGTTAATCTGTTATGCTGGTCTTTGTGCAGTTCGCCTACCTGCAGCACCAGCTGGTCCTCTAGGTCCAGGATTTCCGGCAGGACCACGTGCGCCAGCTGGGCCTCGGGGGCCTGCTGGTCCAGATCCTCGTGGACCTGCTGGACCGGTGGGACCTTGGTTACCTAAATGATGAGGAAAACAATGGCATATATAACTGTAAATACAATATATCATTTCAGAAGGACAACAAGGCATTTTATCTGATCAATAAGTAAGCGACCTTTGGACAATAATTTTAAATTTGTCGACGTAGAAAAAAAAGTAATGAATGAAAACAGATGAAGGCAAAATGCTACAAATAAAAACTTTTTAGCGGAACAGCACATTCAAGGATTACCCACGGTATCTAATGTATATTCACAATCACCATATCAACTATACATGTATGGCCTTTTTGTCATTTTGTCACCTGTGTATTTACTCAAGAGTGTCGTTTAAATAGTAACATAGAAAAATGTTGGACATTTCTCACCTTTAGGTCCTGCGTCTCCTCTGGCACCTGCTGGTCCTCTTGCACCAGGAGCGCCATTACTGCCCGGTCTACCTGCGGGTCCCCTGGGGCCTGTTGGGCCGTCACGCCCTCTACCTAGTAGACACAGAAACAAATGTCTTATTAAACAAATGTCTTATTAAAACATGTGTACACAGGACACAGCGGCGTCTCTGCATTGACACCCAATTTGTACCAGTCCAGAAGATCTTAATACCTTCAGTATTTGTGTGCATAAGGGGCTGTACACGACATAGAAATCATGCAAAAATGATTGTGTGGGGTAAAGCATCATTGTTGGAATGTATATTTAGTATGACTTCTATAAATCTAATACAAATGTTGCCAAGCACCCGTTCATGCCATACACATAGCCTATTTCATATATTTAAAAAACACAACTCTAATGTCCTCCATTAAAAGTATCCAAGTTAGCTGGATCTCCCACATAATTTCCTAAGACGTAGGTGTTAATTACCCGAGTCTCCTGCAGGACCTCTCGGTCCTTGTGGGCCAGTGGGGCCAGCTGCTCCTGGTCGACCGTCAGTTCCAGCTCGTCCAGCGGGACCAGCCGGACCGGCGGGACCTCGGGCGCCGTCATTGCCTCTTGCACCGGCGGGACCTGACGGTGAATTGTAAACAGTGATCATTCTCTTCAAATGAAATCTACTTAAGCTTAGTGTGCACAACATGCACATCATAAACAAAAAACACAGTAAAGCAGAATGGTTGGGTAAATAATAGTTTTTATTGTTCCTTACTGTTGACGGTGGCAATTTTCGTACGACAAAAAGATATTTCCTTTAAGCTATTGTTTGCAAATATCCTCCCAAGCAGCACTTGCGCCATAAAATAACTTCATATGAATAAAAAATAATACAAGACCCACCTCGTGGTCCGGCGGCACCCGGTCTACCGTCGGCTCCGTCACGTCCTGCGGGGCCCCTAGCGCCAGCGGGACCTCTTGCCCCAGCGGCGCCTGCTGGACCACGGGCACCTGTCGGACCTTGTGCTCCTTTAGGACCAGTGGGTCCTACTACAACACGGCCGCTGCCTGTTGCACCTGAACAATGAAATACGGTGTTAGTCAGTACATGCTGTCTGAAATTGTGTTAAACGGGTGATAACTAATTATATGTTGCTCCATGGTGTAAGCTCAGATAGTGTGACATGTTTATTACGTACGTAGCTGACAACGTCTATGCAAGCAGATAAGCGAAGGCAATGTAGACCTACATACCACGAAAGAGTGGATGAAGGCTGTGACAGGAATGGTAGTCCTACGAATGGAAGTCCGGGGTGCAAGTGCAAGTTAAGGTAAGTTGGTGTAAATGGGACGAATGTCACCTGTACAAAGTATTGGGGAACGTACTACGGTTCCTAGCGGACTACCATTTTTGTAACACCGTTTTTAAACACTTAAAACACAACAATTTTTGTTACCCACCGTACTTATTACCCATACAACTACAGATTGACTTGGAAAGTCAAAATAACCCGTTCCCTGGGCATATTCTTACCTGTAGGACCAGCGGGGCCAGTAGCGCCATCTCTACCATTGCGACCATCGGCACCTGCAGGACCACGAGGTCCGGCGGGACCAGCTGGTCCTCTAGCTCCGTCACTTCCTGGTCTTCCTGCCGCACCTGCTGGGCCACGTGCACCAGCTGGACCGGTCGCACCTGGTCGACCGACTCCTGGGCTACCAGCAGCACCTCTGGAATAGATTGACACACAATGTGAACTTGCTTTATGACTTATATACGATAACGAACTTGCTAGAGTTTGGCCTTTTTAATTCTTTATAGTCATTTTACGGTGGACACTAAGAATAAGAAGAACATGTCTATAGCTATCCAATTCTCTAACGTTTTGATGCAATTCAAGTTTGGAATGTGACAGATCACGTTAGTACATGGATATATCTTTTCAAATGTGAACATCATTTTTGCATTTTAACCGAAATTGAACAAAATTCGAATTCAAAGATTTACCTTGCTCCTGCTGGTCCGGCAGGTCCTCTGGCGCCAGCTGGTCCTGCGGCACCAGCCGGGCCTGCGGGACCTGTAGCGCCTGGTCTGCCGTCACGACCAGCGGCTCCACGAGCTCCAGCTGCGCCTGCTGGTCCAGGGGGACCTCTTGCACCGTCTGCACCTCTGGGTCCTGCGGCGCCTCTGGCACCAGCCGGACCTTACCGAGAAAAAGAACAAACAAGCAATAACTACGCTATTGGGAGTTTTCATGTATTAATGATAAAAGGACAGACTGATAAAATAAGCCCATGAAATGAGGTCATAATTTTTTTAAATAGTGAAAAGATGGACCAAACGCTTATCTGCGATCAGAAATATTTCTTACCTGCTGGACCTCTTGGTCCAGTTGCACCGGGTCTTCCTGGAGCGCCTGATCCCGCCGGACCTCTCGGACCTGCAGGTCCTGTCGGTCCTCTTGGACCTGTGGCGCCTGGTCTTCCGTCTGTACCGTCGCTGCCTCTAGCGCCAGTAGCGCCGTTTCTTCCAGCTGGACCGGCCGGCCCAGCAGGACCTGCTGGGCCCCTCGCGCCTGCTGTTCCTGCTGGACCTCTTGCGCCTGCTTGGCCTGCTGGACCTCGGGCACCTGCTGGACCTCTGTCTCCTTTGGCTCCTGGGGCACCGTCTTTGCCTGGGGCACCTGCTGCTCCTGCTGGCCCTCTGGCACCGGCCGGTCCTCTAGCTCCGTCAGAACCATCTCTACCACGGGCACCAGTTGGACCAGTTGCCCCTGGCCTTCCAGCTCCTGCTGGCCCTCTAGCGCCTGCTGGACCAGTTGCACCTCTTGCACCAGCAGGCCCTGCTGGACCTGTGGCACCATCACGGCCATCTCTACCAGCAGCTCCAGCTGGACCTCGAGCTCCTGCAGGTCCTCTTGCTCCTGCTGCACCTGCTGAGCCAGGTCTGCCTGCTGCACCACGAGCTCCGGCGGGACCTGCTGGTCCTCTAGCACCTGCAGGTCCCCTTGGGCCTGCATCTCCTTTTGGTCCAGCTGGTCCAGCGGGTCCGGCAGGACCTCTAGCACCAGCACTTCCGTCAGCGCCCCTAGCTCCAGCGGGCCCTCTTGGACCTGCTGCTCCAGCTGGTCCAGCGGCACCTCGAGCACCTGCTGCTCCTGCTGCTCCCGCTGGTCCACGGGCTCCTGTTGCACCTGGCGATCCTCTGGCTCCTGCTGCTCCTCGTGCCCCTGCTGGTCCTCTGGGCCCTGTAGGACCTTGTCCTCCTGCGGGTCCTCTTGCTCCAGCAGGACCAGCTGGGCCAGCTGGACCTGTGGCACCAGCTGGTCCTCTGGCACCTGCGCTTCCTGGTCTGCCGTCACTTCCAGCAGCGCCTGCTGGTCCAGCTGGTCCTGCTGGCCCTCTTGCGCCTGCGGGTCCTCGTGCACCTGCTGGCCCTCGTGGACCTGCTGGTCCAGCTGGTCCTCTATCTCCCTGAGCACCTGCTCTGCCGTTTGCACCTGCAGCTCCCCTTGGACCTGGCGCTCCTGGTGCGCCGTCTCTGCCTGGAGTACCGCGGTCTCCCTTGTCACCTGTGGAAAAAAGTTGCTACTATATTGTCAAGTGCCAACTTACAAAGACATTTTTATTCATGTTACAATGTAATTCTCAAGTGACTAAGCTACACAGATACTACCTGTACGTTATACCTAGCAGAACAATATCTGTCTTAACAGATTAAAATTGATCTATAATTAACTTAACTAATATGCTTATAACTTTTACTTTCGTGCATTTACAAATCTCACAAAGGCTGCTATATGTGATGGTATTACGTAGATTTTTAACAGAGACAGGTTGGCTAGATTGACGTGTTATTGGTTAACGTTAAATATATACGAAATCCTCATATACCTTGTGGTCCACGTGGACCTGGTCCGCCAGCTGGACCTCGAGCGCCAGCCGCACCTGCTGGGCCTCGCGCTCCCTGGGCACCGTTTGCACCCCGGGGTCCTGTGGGTCCTGGAGGAAGAGGAAAAATAACACATTGCTGAGAAATCAGATCCGGCGCATTAATTTTGACAGACAAAGGAATAACATTTAGCGATGTCCTGGATGAGGAGGAAAATAACACATTGCTGGATTTTGCCCCTTTATTTTGACAGACAGGCGTTTAATATCCAAAAAGAATAACATTTAGTGTGAACCAGGAATTACTGTAGTAGTACGTCTACAGGATTATGTAAAAAGTCCGAAAAATATTACGCTTTTTTAAAAGTATGATGGCAATACGCTCCACCGTAGAGTTTCAGGAACTGGAAAATCTAGTACATGTTGGTAGCTGTGGTGCAAGAACAGGTCTGTTGACCACATTTACGCTATTGTTTACGTCCAACACACAACGCATATCATAATCAGAAATCACAACGTATATATATGTTCCCTTACCTGGTGGTCCAGCAGAACCCGTTCTTCCTGCCGCACCACGGTCTCCCTGGGGTCCTGCTGGTCCTCTTGCACCTGGACGTCCATCAGTTCCATCGCTTCCTCTGGCTCCTGTAGCTCCAGGAGCACCTGCTGGTCCGCGGGCGCCAGTTGCACCTGCTGGGCCACGAGCCCCAGCTGGTCCCCTAGCACCAGTTGCTCCTGCGGAACCTCTTGGACCTGAGGGAAAGATGGGCAGTTTGAAGCCAATGTCGATAAAACTATAGGGTCTGATAAGATACAGTCGTACCTCTTTTTTGGTTAGCAGGCTGGGGATGTCTCTAAAGTCGTGCGTTCATTCACTATAAGTCGTGATATTTGAATCTCAGAAAGAACATGACAAAGTATCTACTGTTTAACATTCTATGACATGTTCTTATTTCCGGATGTTTTATTTTTGCTTTCCTTATCAGTTATTGGTTCTTTTAAATGATATTCATTTCTCTTTCGTTCGCCGCTCATTCTCAAGCAACATTATCCATGCTACTGCAAATATTCCTAACCAATATCAGCAATCAGCACTCACCGGCAGGTCCGTCATTTCCACGAGCACCTGGTCGTCCGTCATTTCCTCTAGCTCCGGCTGGACCACGAGGACCTGCGGGTCCTGCTGGACCTCTGTCACCTGCTGGTCCACGTGCTCCTGGGGCTCCATTGGCTCCTCTACTACCTGCAGGGCCGGCTGGGCCAGTAGCACCTGGAACAAAGCCATAATTCCAGTACAGTGGCTTAGTTTTAGAGTGTATGAAGTATTGAAAATTGAGTGTATGAAGACTTAATCTGCTTGTGTTTTCTCCTATTAGCTTTTTTCTCCTACCTTAGCTGTATTTGAGAAGCATTTAACAGATGTTTGGTAGGCATATTTGTTGGTTTTTCTTACGGATTAAGTCTCCAAAGCCTAATTTGCAATATTTTATTATTTGCCCTTTAATGAATAATTGACACTGTATCTTGATATACGCTTCATGCATCATCGAAGTACAGTCGCACCTGCTGGTCCTCTTGCTCCGGCGGGTCCTCTAGCACCAGTGGCACCTGGTCTGCCTGCACTACCAGCGGCACCAGCCGCACCTCTAGGACCTGCAGGACCTGCCGCTCCTCTGGCACCGGCTGGACCTGTCGGACCTTGGGGTCCTCTTGGTCCTGCTGGACCTGCAGGACCTGTGAATAGAAATAAGGATAGAAATAGTTGTTGTTTTAGTGTCGTATTCATAACCACGGTGCAAAGACTGTCCTCTATTCTACAAGGCGTTTTCGGATACTTCCAGAATAAACAACTTTGCACACCATCTATATTAAACTGACAGTACGTAGTTTTCTTGTCGTTGTATCATTAGGCTTCATTAGGCTTCTCCAAATACTTCACAAACAAATACAATGAACTTCACCAGTAACAAACATATATGTTACGCAAATTCTTGGCGTAATAGCAATCTATAACATTCAAAAAGAAAAAGAAAAGAAAAAGAAAAAACATCAAAAGACCCATACCTGCTGGACCTCTTGGGCCAGTGGGGCCTGTGGCACCTGGTCGTCCATCTGATCCGTCCCGTCCAGGTCTGCCTGCGCTGCCCGCTGGACCTCTTGCGCCAGCTGCTCCTGCTGCACCGTTAGCCCCTGCTGGTCCTCTGGCACCGGTTGCGCCAGCAGGACCAGCTGGACCCGCGGGTCCTGTTGCTCCCTGTGCACCACGGGCACCTGCAAGTAATATGTAGAGTGAAGCTGCTGTTTTAACAGTTAAGGCAAGGCCTGGTTGGAATTAATACTGCTTGTTATATTTTAATAATTAATTTATTATTAATTTATTAAAATACCAATTCAGCCGATTGGCTGTGAAAAGCTACTGGAAGGATATAAGGCATACTCTGTGAATAATACGAAACTGACGGCGAGCGAACACAAACCTGGAGCTCCGTCAGCTCCTCTTGGGCCAGTGGCACCATTTCTTCCTGCAGCACCTGCCGGGCCAGCTGGACCTGCTGGGCCTGCTGGACCACGTGCTCCATTAGCTCCGTCAGCACCTCTAGGACCTGCTGGACCTGCTGGGCCGGGACTTCCTGCTGGTCCTCGGCTGCCGTCGTTACCTGGGCGTCCGGCGGGACCTCGGGGTCCAGTTGCACCTGCTGGACCTGTAGTAGAGAAAACGAAAATTTACGCCTCAAGTGTAATTTTTTTTTTGCAATATGAAATCATAAAAATATGAGTGCACTGTGGAAGTGTTTTTCTAAAAAACTCCACCTGGTAGTAAGTATAATTGCTAGTATGTCTATATGCTTAGAAAACGACAACAGATTTAAATGTACAGGGCCGTTGTATAACTTTAAGTTTAGTGTACTTTCTATGGTCTTCTTAACTTAGTCATATTTTGTGTGCCATGATACTTATACATGCAAAAATGACAGCTTTACCTGCAGGTCCGGCATTTCCTCTGGCTCCCGCTGGGCCTGTAGCTCCTGGGGCTCCACGGGAACCTGCTGGTCCTGGTGGGCCGGCGGCTCCAGCTGGTCCTCTCGCTCCGTTGGCTCCTCTAGGACCTGAAGCGCCTGTTGCTCCGGCAGGGCCTCGAGCACCGTCGTTACCTCGTGGTCCAGTGGGTCCTGCACTTCCTCTGGCGCCAGCACTTCCAGCGGCTCCACGGTCACCCTTCGGACCTAGAGACCAAAACGTTCGTTGAATGAATTTTCTTTCAGGATACAGTCATTAAGACTTTTTACAAAGCAGCCATTTTGAACAACAAAAAACAATGGCAGTAGGTATGCTTAAACGTTAAAGCAATTAGACTGCCATACTACTGACTTTGAGTTAACGTAATTTTTTGGCAGGTGTGTCGGCATGATGAAACAGACAAACTACACATGTGTAACCCTGTGAGCAAAAAAGTAATTTTTATATGACATATCAATGGAAATCAAGGTATGGTGGCCTTAAACTTTCTGTTAGCCGCTGATACCGTGTTCTTTTAGATTCATCGTAAGAAAACAGTAATACAAGACAAAAGCCGCGACAAGACGGTATTGTAATTCAAATATATTGACTATAGTTTTTTACCTGCTGGACCGGCTGGTCCTCTAGCTCCAGCGGCACCTGCTGGTCCTCTGCTGCCCGCTGGTCCTCTGGGACCTGCGGGTCCTTGGGCACCATCGTTACCACGAGGTCCAGTGGCACCGGGACGACCGGCCGCACCTGGTCAGAAAAATGACAGCGATGAATGTATATATTAATATCGAAAATTAAATATTGCACTGAACAGATTTGATTAAATAGTTAAGATAAAACGTTCTGTTCTTTAATTTATGCCACAAATGCCTCTATCATGACCATTAAATACCAGCAAAACATAAAACAAAGCAGTGTACATACCTCTAGCACCAGGTGATCCTTTCGGACCTGCTGGGCCAGTTGCCCCTGGGGCACCGTCACGTCCGTTACGTCCTGCTGGGCCACGGGAACCTGCAGGGCCACGAGCACCTGCCGGGCCTGCTGGTCCTGTCGCACCTAGTGATGGAATAGACACATACACATGTGAAAACTTTCGCGCAGACAAAATATCCAAACGTCTCACATTATTGATTTTCACTATCTGAGCTCGGTTATGACCATGCTTGGTTTCTTCATTAAAGACACAAGTAAGGCAAAGTATTATATACTGAAAACGAATCCCTTATGACTGAAAATTTCAGCTTAACATATAGATTAATATGACCAACGTACCTGGTGCGCCATTTGTTCCTGCTGGTCCACGGGCACCAGTGGCGCCGGGACTGCCTGCCGGACCTGCGGGACCTCGAGCACCTGGGGGACAAAAGCGTAGCAACAGTGTATGAATCGTTGGTAAAGGACGTTTATACATAAAAATCATGATATTATAATGATCAATGAAATATGTTTACAGTTAAAAATGATTGCCTTTAACATTGTACTGCTGTTTTGACTCTTACCTGGAGCACCGTCTCTGCCGTTAGCGCCATCTCTGCCCCGGGGTCCCGTGGGTCCTGCTGGGCCCTGAACGAAAGTTTGTATAATTGTTACATTTTGGTTAGGCCATTTACTGTCTGAAACACAGCTGTGAGGAAGTGGCAGAAAGCAATTTGGAGTTTTTCGCATTATTTTGCTTATATAGCGTTGTATAAATGTGTCAAAGGTGAAATAGGGAAACCTCCGATCCTCCTAAATGATTCTGGAGCTTTAATTTTCCTACTTTATGCTCGGTATTACAACCCCGTCCTTTCAAGCAAATGCACATCATTTCAGATCTCTCCGCTCAAGCATTGAACAACAAAGTACCTTGATGTTAATATTACTAATAAAAAATTACATTGAACAGAAGTCGATTATCTGACACTAATATAAGTTCCATAGCATACCCTAGGTCCGGGAGATCCGGCGGCACCAGCTGGGCCTGCCCTGCCGTCAGCACCTGTTGGACCACGTGGTCCTGTGGGGCCAGCACGGCCTGCGGCGCCTCTTGCACCGGCCTGACCTGTGGCGCCATCTTTACCAGCTGGGCCTGTGAGAAAAGACGGCGTTATTTTACGAAAAGTCTAGAAATAACGGCACATGGAATGAATATAGCAGTTTGCAGTATGTGCAAGAATGTAACGATTTCTCAAAAATGCGGCTTTATTTACTAACTGTTATTCAACATATTTCTTCTGATCGTACCTCAATGTGTCAGCCTAGCTTAATGCATTGCACTTTGTTAATTAAGAGTGCCAGTTTTCAAAACTGAAAATTAAAAAGTAAGGTATATTTGGAGACAAGTAATAAAGGTTGCTACATTACCTCTCGCTCCTGCGGGTCCAGTGGCACCTGGTCGACCACCTGGGCCAGCGTCTCCCGCGGGTCCTCTCTGACCTGCTGCTCCTGTCGCACCTGCCGGGCCACGGTCACCTGCAACGCCAGTGGGACCTCGAGGTCCAGCTGGACCAGGAGATCCTGCTCTTCCTGTAGCTCCTCGAGGTCCGGGGTCTCCCTTAGCGCCGGCTGAACCAGCTCTTCCAGCAGAGCCGGCCGGACCTCTGTCTCCTGGGGGACCCCGGGCTCCGTCCTGACCTGCCGGACCCCTGGGGCCCGGCGCTCCATCGCTTCCTGGTCTCCCAGCAGCTCCTGCAGGACCGGCTGGACCGGCTGGTCCGCGAGGTCCTGCGTCACCCTTGGCACCTGCTGATCCTGGTCTGCCGTCAGCACCCGCGGGACCACGTGGACCTGTCGGACCTGCTGCGCCTGTAATTACACACACACACCCACAAAAAAATTAAAGCTGTATAGTTTGCTGTATCTCGCAAATAGGGCAGATGTCAATTGAAATTTGAAAAACAGATTAATTAAAAAGGGGTACAAAATAGAATATACGCACTTGCCAGTACCTCATTGAATCCTGATATATTAATGATAATTGTTTGTTAACTTTTATGTATGTAAGTTCTTTGATGTGTATTCTTCTCCAAACTTGTATAACCGATACGCAATACATTACGCCACTAGTCACACTCAATGTACCATTTGTTTTTAAGAAAACCTTTTCATGTTCATTTACCTGCCGGTCCTCTGGGACCTGTAGGCCCAGCTGGACCCCGTGCTCCGTCTGAACCAGCTCTACCGTTGGCTCCTGCAGCACCCCTAGGACCGGTGGCTCCTGCTGGACCACGTGCTCCTGGGGAGCCATCTCTTCCGGCGGGTCCTCTGGGTCCTGGGCCACCAGCGGGGCCTCTAGGTCCTGCAGGGCCTCTGGCTCCTGGGGAGCCATCTCTACCTCTCGCCCCGTCAGAACCTGAGGGAAAGTAAAGAGAAAGCGAGGTAGTTTTTTTTTTTAAATTAGACTATCAAATTTTATTAATAGGTGTAGTTTATGGGAACAGTAAAATCTATAATAATGGTTATAAAACAACGCATCTATAATAATGGTTATAAAACAACGCGCTTTATCCTTAGCAACAAGACAATGAACGTCCTTGCAGTTATGGCGCACATGTCTTTTCAGCATTACGTCTCTTACTCCTTATTTATTAATAATTTCAATATTCATATACCTGCTCTTCCAGCGGCTCCAGCGGGTCCTCTTGCACCCGCAGGCCCTCTAGCGCCGGCCGGTCCTCGAGGTCCAGCAGGTCCTGCTGCTCCGGGAGAACCGTCTCTTCCGTCTTTACCAGCGGCACCGGCAGCACCTACAGAATGAAAGAAGCTTTACAGATATAGAATGTACATTTTGAATAGCATTTATGTAACATGTGATGTTTCATTAAGATATAAAGAAATTTCTTGTGTCATGAAACGGAATAAACAAAAGAAAAACATCAAAGTTTTAATAATGAAGGACCTTAAAATGTTCAACGATGTCAACAGCAAGAAAGCGGCAATTTGCCGTGGCTTTTCTAACACATTAAATCCGTGACGCACCTCGAGGTCCTGTGGCACCGTCTGAACCGTCACGGCCGTTCCTTCCAGCTGGACCTCTTGGTCCGGTAGGGCCAGCAGAGCCCGGTCTTCCTGCAGGGCCGGTGTCGCCTTTGGGACCGTCTCTGCCAGCAGCGCCGGCTGGACCAGCTGGACCTGCTGGGCCTGCTGGACCAGTTGAGCCCTTAGTTCCTCTGAATTTGTGAGGGATAAGAATAATTATGCAGCTACAGTAGGACTTGGTTTGCAGAGATAGAGCTTATATATCTCATTTATTTCGATCATACATAACGTAAATGTTTATTAGAAATTACTCAAAAATGCGAAAATATTTGTAAATGTAATTTTTCTGTTTTGCACTCTTTAAAGAATTGTTTGTAAACGTGGAAGCTATATTTCAGATGTTTCTTTGAAGACCGTTTGATTGACAGTTGTTTATAATTTCAATACAAAATATCACCTTGATCAATGGTGAGCTATGAGCAGCTGATACGACAAAAATATCGCTATGAGGTCACTTACCTAGGACCGGTGGGCCCGTCATTGCCACGTCTGCCTGGGTCTCCTCTTGGTCCAGTAGGCCCTCTACCGCTATCTCCTGTAACTCCTCGAGGTCCTGTTGGTCCTGTGTCTCCCCTCGGTCCAGGCATTCCTGGGATTCCTGGGATTCCGGCCAACTCGATAATCAGGACCAAATCTGTCAGAGAGGAAGAGACATTGATAATGTGGGAAACTGTAATTTGCATAGGTACATTCAATTAAATGGCTCATTGACGGTGGACAGTAGCAAAACTGAACGGATAGTCATACCGTGTCACTTTTATCAGATTCTTAAAGTTTTAGTCAGAAATATGTCGTTTGATGTGTGTGCGTGCGTGTGCATGTGTGTAGACCTCTGTGTGTTTGGTGTGCGCGTGTGTATGTGTGTGTGTGCGTATGCGTGTGAATTTCGTGTACTACACATTTACCTAAATCACATAGTCTTCCCAAAAATCCACTTCTGCAGTTGCACTGTGAGAAGCCGTCCGATTCCCTGACTACACATGTGCCATCATTCCTGCATGGGTTCGGGTTGCACGCCAATGCTACAAGGTAAAATCATAGTTATACCGTACTTATGTCCTTTCTGGACAACCTCAGCAAACTATTCTATCTATAAAAAACACAATTTGATCATGTGAATTTAAACAAAACTGATAAATAATCTTTTTTCATAGTCTAATCAATTATTTAAAATTATATCCAATTACAGCTTTTAATCAAGCACTGGTGTCACCAAGTTTAAAGTAAATACATTGTAAATATACTCCTGCGTCCTCAGTTGCCCACTTACATGTTTCACAGTTCTTTCCAGTGAGGTAGGACCGACATGAACACGTGTATCCCCCGGCCTGGTCGCTGGCGGGCGTACACACGCCCCCGTACATACAGGGGTTCGGTAAACACGCCGTGATGTGAACTCGCATATCTAAACAGACACAGGGAATATTAATTGATCTAATAATTACACTTCTGTCAATGTGTTATTTAGATCTCCACCCAACCCCACCATTCCTACGTCTTAACGCTGTATCGTTGATTGATATTACAAGAAAAGAATATGATGATGTTAGGCCTATATTTTAATACATGATAGCAGCATACCGGAATGGATTCAGAATTAGATTCAAGCAGAATTATATATCCATTGACGCTTTCAATGAACTAAACTGAAGCATAGAGATCTCAACAGAATAAAACGGATATGCATATTATTTACATACATGCATAGATAAATGAGACATATCGTATTAAACCGTCGAACTGATTTGAAATATGTAGACGTCTGCATAAAAATTTTGTTGTCATTGTCCGGTCATTATCGTAACACACTTGATTTATATTTGGAACTCAACGGACCATTGCTAATTACGCAAATTTACCTATTTGGCAGAAAAGCCCGAAAAAGTTAGCGGGGCAAATGCAAACTTTGCTTCCGTCTGACTTTTGTGCACATGTTCCTCCGTTTTGACAGAAGCTGGAGTCACATCCTTTGTCTGAAATAAGATACGTCATGGAATCAGAGTCATCGAGTGCAAATGAAATTTAAAACATGATGCATACATTCTACTTGCAATCGTCTTATCTCATGGAATTTAATGCGTTTGCAGGACATTTTTGCTCAGTATTGGCAAGAAACGTCCACCTTATCAATAGGGCCACACTGCTTAAAGATACAAAACACTCACATTCTTGACACAAGCGGCCACTGAACGGCTCCTTGCACTGACAGATAAACCCGTTGCCATTGCTGGCACCCGTTTGCTGACACGTGCCGCCATTTTGGCAGGGCGAGGAGCAGCAGGCGCCGCACTTGGCTCCGGATTCCTGTGAGATTGTTATGTCCACCTTGTCTGCGTTCAAATCTGAAATGAAAGATCAACGTTAGTTTTGAAATTTATCTATTGAAATTATGAACTACATATGTGTTATAAAAAAAACTTTTTTCTTTCATTTTAAATCTGCAAAGCGAAGAAAACATTTGTTTTTAAAATCGAAGGCGGTTTCAAATTTCAACATATTTAATCTAAATTAAGATTCTACAAAACAAAAGAAAAAAAAACTATGGCAAAAGACTGATCAGTTCAGACCGCGTCTTACCTATTTGACACGTAGATCCAAAGTACCTTTCTGGGCATGCGCACATTGAGCCAGATCGGCCGGCCACGCATGTACCTCCGTTCTTGCAGTCCAGTTTTTGTATGCATATTGGTCCTATATTAGAAGATAAAATATCAGTCCACGCTACACAGTTACTTTTGAGGAATAATGTTATTTTGAATAATTATAAATTAGCCAAATAATTATGAAATTAGCTAAGGAGATATGTAAGCCAAATAATGGATACTTGATAATGCACCCACCATTCGTAACTTATTTATATACAATGGAGATTTTCCCACTACATTAATTTTTTTAATTATTGGGAAAATATCATGTCTTCTGAACTTTTTTGGGTGTAGTTTGCACCCAGTTTCAGTCAGGTTGGACACGTACTTTGATCACATCGTTCACCGGTCCAGTTCTCGTCACACACGCACCGGAAGCTGTCACCCTGTGGCACACATTTGCCATTGGCGCATGGGTTGTTCCTACAAGGTGGATCGGGTATCTCTAACATAGAAAAAAGGAAGTTAAGATTCGGATAACTGCTTCTTAGACAGAGAACAAAATCATGCGCGCAATTTTCAACTAAAAATATATATGAGCTCATTTCCGTATTTACATATACAGTATGCACATGTATAATCGTGCTATTTCTCGATACGAACAGCTCAATTAAACGAAGAGATTACATAAAGTGCTACAAGTTTTATTTGAACAAAGGATTTTGAAAAATCTCCTGTTATCTAATTATCATTTGTTACCTAATTATCATTTTATATACTTTGTGGTTTTTACCTTCAGATGGACAACACTGGTAGGCAAACCTCGTGTTTGGAGACTTGCTGAAGGAGCAGACGTCTGTCATGTTGACAGTACAGCTCGGCAGACCGTCACAATGAGACTTGGCCGCGTACGTGAAGTACTCCAAGTTAGAGTCCGTAACGGCACAGAACGGGTCATTAGCGTAGTTGCAGAAACGCCTGACACGCACCTGCGCCTTGCCGCAAGACAAGCTTAATTGCGAGTTGGTGCGGCAGTTGAACTCCCCGAATTGTTCTAGGGAAAAGAAGTCAAATTGACATCTTTTATACTCCAATTGGGTAAATTATTATGTTGCAACGGGTAATACTATAGTGTGCATTCTGTCTGTCAATGAATGTAGAAATTACTATATTCATGGCGTAACGTACACGGATATGTATGACTGACTGACTCAAAGGAATATTTCATCTGGCTTTGAATTTGAAGAGCTGATGCAATTCTGCCCATGCACTTAACGGAGTGAAATTGAAGGGTCAGCACAACTTAACACCCCAGCTAGTGGAACCTCCAAAAACACATTTGGTTACATGTGCCAGTCGCGAATTCCTCACCTCCTACAACGCACCCCTCAGCGTCGCCCTTCTCACAGTATGTGCCATAGAACCCACAGGTACAGGCACACCTGAAGCCAGCGATGTAGCCGTCCCTGTCGTACAACTTGGCACATTGGCCGCCATTCTTACACGATGGCTTGGCACATGGGTCATAATCTGAAATTAGACGCACATATTAAGGAAGTGCTTCAAACAAGCTTCTATTCTTTGGTATATTAAATCAAATTGATTGGTCTTTTTCTTCCCAGCTGTTTGAAGTCAATTAAACTCTAAAATGGGAACAAAATTAACAATACAGAATATTTTCAATTTGCCTTAACGGATGTAAATTGAGTACATACATAGCACTGAGATTATAATTAATTTATACGTGTTAATTATTTAAAAGCAGAATGCACTGTCAGTTTTATGGGCTATATGTTATTGTGTCAGCTAGATATATTTGAGATATAAGTCGTCCCATAATATTTTTTAAACGTTTGACAGGGTACATTGTGATTTATAAAACAGTAAAGAAGAAATGTCCATATTTTCTTGGATCAGCTGAAGCATTGCCTTTTTATCAAATTAAAGAGTAAGAAATAATAATGAACTTCACCTTGTTGCCTGCATCCAGATGGCGGACACCCAGGCACGTAGCGTTTCGATCTTACGTTAACTTCATTCTTCAAAGGTCCAAGGGGCTGGAGAGGTATCGCTAATGTTACAGCGACACCTATCGAAAGTAGCAGCCCCTGCAGGAGACGCGTCGTCTGCCTGCCCATAGCAGCTAGAATGGAAGGAAATATTACAGTGCCAAGGTGGTGAAATTATATAACTAGGCAAGGGGTGCTTTGTAATAAAGTCTGTGTACTGAAGTTAAATATAATGTCTATTACAATTGAAAAGAAATGCCGTGACCCGGAATTTCCTACTGGCACACAGCTATTAATATACTATATATGGTAATGAATACATGTAATTGAAATTTCGAGAAAGTTACTGGCTTTGAAAGGGCGTTGTCTTTGGTTTTCTTAATCTTTTTTGGGGTAGTCACAACCATAATGAAAACCACTATTTAAATAACTTCAAATAGCCATTAGCCGACCACGCTGCCCTCACGTTACATTGCCGTCAGGACTTACATGCGCTAAGCACCGTGATGGACGGCAAAAAGAACACCGCCAGTGACGTTTTTATGTTGTCCAAAGTGCGTCATCAAGGCAATGCCCTCATCGCTCGGGCGGTGACTCAAGTTAAAGGATAATGGCGGAAATGGTTTTGTTGAACAGTGGAAAATTTCGTTTCGATTTATGGGACTTACACGTGAGACTTTAATTGACTGGTTGTCCTCAGCAATATAATTGCTTTCGTATTTTGTGGCCTTTCAAATGATTATTTTTCCGGTTGTTTTCAGATATAATGGGACCGCCCAACCCGCCTTCCTTTGTGTTAGAAGTGGCCACAAATTGATAACGTTGCATGAAACTCTCCCTCAAAAAAAAAAAAAAAAAAAAAAAAAAAAAAATATATATATATATATATATATATATATATATATATATATATATATATATATATATTCAGGTCTATCTGTTTATCTTGAACAAACATTTGAGCACAATGTCAGGAATACAGATATATATACCTACTCCTTTTCCCCCAGAATATGCGTATGCCTACAGTGGAATAAAATATTCCCATTACGTGCGTATTTCTCTAATGAGCCAATAGATGGCGGAGTAATAGGGCAGAACAAGTGCCTCACCCGACAAATTGACCTGATATCTAAATACCGACAAAGCCTGTGGTAATCGACATACATTTCCCCCGGAGCACACAATTCAAGTTCTGTTCTTCTTAAACAAAAAAACAAATTTAACATGAAAATGAGAAATAAATGCAACATTTTTCTTGCGTAGACTTATCTAAGAATTTATAGTCTCACCGCGGAAACTGAACATCAGCTGGGTTAGTCATCACAGCCTTGACTTTGGTTACCTGTAGGAATAGTGCCGCTTTCATTCCAGTTTCACATTTAGGTTATTTAGTCTTACAATTTGTTTTTTAGATAGCTTTAATAATTAAAGTATGTAAGAAGAATACGAATTTACTTTGAAGTGTAAATGAAAAGACGTGAATATACAAAAAGCAAGCTGCTAATATATGCACACCAGGAGTTATGCATTTGTAAAATAAAATCTACAGATTTTATATTTCAACAATATTATAACGTCCATGTACTTGTTCAAACTACAAAAAATCAAAAGCCTGCTACCTTGTGCCCAGGAAATTTCAGGCGTTGCCATCAATTTTATCCAAGAATCTGACACTTACGTTACTCAACTTTCTTGCAATGAAAATGAAAACAGCATATTGCCACAGCCAATAAAATCATTAGAACTGTCTGCGTGACGAACACTAGTTAACACGAAGTCTAAAACTTATCTTGTTCTTGAATATCGAATTGAACCATTAACATCTAGTTTCAATAATGGTACACTTAAATACCATTTAACTTATACGATGAATACATCAAGGCCGTTTTACTAACTCGTAATTCGTCCATTCTGGGAGTGCAATTACAGTGGGCAGGCTTTGGGCCGGGGTGTTGCGTATCACACCTTAGCCAAATAACGATACACATTTTTCCTTTTTAAAATACTCTAGGTTCTGGCAATAAAAAAAATGTCAATATCTAAACCATGAGACACTAGATCCTTCATTCGGGTTTATATTCCTTCGTGGTATTCGATCTAGGATTGCAATAATCTTGTATTTCCCCCCAATGATCTTTAGTGTAGCTGATTCCAATGATAAAGAGTCTTATATTAGGAAGCCATACTAGCTTACTGAAACTCCATTTTATACAATGTCCGTATTAAGAACCATTGTACATTTTGGCTTGGCACCTTAAAACAGAGATCCTAAACCACTTCTAATAAAGAAAAAGGTCAACAAAGTAAAGACCGTCTTCCCAATCAACGAAATATTTCAAAGCAAGATAAGGCATTGCTTACCGTTCAGCGGCAGCAGACTACTGTGATAAGTGTACTACCACTGGGACCTTCGTTCACGAAACCAAAATGGCCTCCTACCTTTGGCGGCTGTTCACAGGCTAAGTGGCTTGGGCCGCAATAAGTTTACAGCTTAAAAGACATTTTATATCAGAAAAGATATTAGCAGAAGGTTAACTGGAAGTTTAGTATGCAAACTGCGGATTACAAATACTTTGGTTGTTTTAATGGGTCTTGGTCGGTCTTGGTATGGTAATGTAATGGTGGGATTATTTAGTAAGCATGACTTGGGACAGGCCAACCGTGAGACAGGAGCACATGCAAATCAAAGTGTTACATTTAATTATTTGATGGGAGTTGAGGGTATTTGAATTCACATTTATGTGTCTCGTTGCTAGATGACCTCTTGAGGTTGAAGATATCAAGACGCGTGGTTTGTTTTAGAAATTTGAATCAGGTGAGGGGACAGGTGCGAAGCGGAACGCCACGCCACTCACTGCACCTACACAAACAGCACATAATACCGTAAAATGCTTTATTTGTCATCAGTATGTCCTTTGGCCGATTTAACTGTCCAAGATAACATATAAATTTAGATTTATACATGTCATGTCTCTTTAATTTAATTTTCTATATAATATGCACCACAAATATAAATGTCTGGAAAAATTAATTTGTAGCACGACCTCATTTAAATATATTTAAAATGTTAAAATTAAGCTTCCTTTTATGTTCAGACAGGACTCCTTTTGTGTTGGAGGATTATATTTTTTACTCCTTTTTGATTCTTTTTTTCTGACATTATATTGATCTAATGGATGTTGTGCAGCATTTCATGGGATAGGGTAATAAGATTCATGTACTATATTAATTTTAACATATTTATTTTAATCCTTATACAGTACAAATATAACTGTACAATAACACAGACGTTCTGATGGTGCTATTTTTTCAAATTCCGCAAAGTTTTCGCAAAGAAGAGTGTCGCAACATTGTTTCGTTATCTTTAAACCTCAAAATTGCTCCTGAATTAAGCATGTCACTTCTTAAATTGCATAAAGTCATTTACAACTGTTATCCCCCTTCGTGAGCCAAGAGCAATACAATAAAATTGACATTGTGAAAATTAGGTCTGTTTTGTGACATACTAGTAGAAGCAAGCAATACATTCCTTGATAAAATATAAAACTTGTAACAAGTCTATTCATTGGCTCATTAACTATGCACGTGCGGCTTCATCCAAAGTTATTACTCAGTAATATCATGTATTAGTAGGGATGTTTAAAAATACATAGAAATAACAGGTGAATTTTTGTGGGATACAATGGCTGTAGAAACCCATATTGAAATACCAGTGTTTGATATGCGTGCAATCTTAATGGGCAATCAAGGAACGCTGGTGTTTAAAAGGCACCTGATCCACCGCCTCTTTGGCCACACGACAAGACCACCAAGGATGGATAAGAAATTACAATATATATATATATATATATATATATATATATATATATATATATATATATATATATATATATATATTACCGTGAAAATATGTTTTTATTTTAATAAGCCTTCTTCAGAAAATTATCAATTTCAAACATACTATTGTGTAAAATTTACTAGTATAGATATTTTTTCTTCCATGAAATCACCTTCAACATTGACAGCTTTTTTATTATAAATTGGCAGTCGGCAAAACATATGCTATGTTGTTGGAATTTTCAGACACTTTGATTTTCTTTGGTGGTTTTATAAGAAACGTTCGTTTTTTTTCGATTCTTTATTCACAATTTACTAGTTAAAGGAAATTTTCTTTAAAGGAAATATTTTTAACATGAGCTATTTTATGATTCGTCAAATCATTTGTTGGCGATATGTAACGACAATATCTACTTTAAGACTTAAATCTGAATAAAATATTTCCGTTGTTAAAGTATAAATGTTTTTGGATTACAAATTGGCCATAACAGGCAGGATAGAATGTTTCTTTTGCAATTATCTGTAGGAAAGATATAACCGATTTAAATCTCAGCGTTTTGAATGGATTCTCTATTCCCAATTCACTATAATGCATCGTTTAATGAGATTACACACAAACAAAATGTTCAGTGTTTAAATACAGGTGTATCTAATATGATTGGTTGGGGACCTTAGACAGGTACAATTGAAACCGTTAAAAACATTTAGATGAATCATGTTCGATTGTTCTCATGTCTCGTCATAAATAAAATGCACGCAGTGTGAAGAATTGATGCTGCCATCATTGGACACTGTTTGATTTTGGAATTCGAATTTTTTTTGTGTGTGTGTGTGTTTTACGTTTTATCTCAAGCAATTCGGCTGACAAGAAGATCCTTACATTTGTCTATAACATGAAATGCAACGAGGAGAAAATTTCATTTTTTCTTTGCACGGAGACCAAATAAAGTCCACATGTATATAATGCATTGCAACTAATGACAAATTAATGTCAGCTGAAATTTAATATATGAGGTAAGCTCTCCTTCCACGAAGTCTACCTCAGTGACATTACTTCATTTCTTGTTCAGATTTCGGTGTATCGTAGAACAAGCTTGCGTGTTTATTTCAAATTTAAATATTACGAAGTGAGAAAATCTGTCGGTTTTTAGCTAAAGGCATGGCTGCCCTAGTTAATGTTTGTATTTTTATGATTGATCGTACAGTTCTTATCGTTAAATTGACTACGACAATTTTTGGAAAGGTAGAGTTAAAACCTATTAATATATTGGGTATCAGATTTACTAGGAAAAATGCTTAAGACGAAGATGCTCTTACACTATCATCGATTACTTACACCGCTGTTGCAATATGATGGCACACGTACTGCATGTGTAAAAAACTCCATATTACGGTAATAAATATTTATTTCTGTTTATTTATAGATATGCTTTGAATTGCGTGCAAAAGAATGCAAATGGGAAGTCAAATTCTGTTGCATAATGCTTGATATATAATATAATATAAAGATAAAAGATAAATGACACAAATTCAAAGAACTATTCGTTGTTGAAAGCATTTTATTTGAAGTTTTTATTTCATAAGGTACAGTATCTGAAGTTCGCAAGATCCTAAATTTTAATCTTATGTTTCGGAAAAGTAATTATTTTGCTTACGAGAGAGGTCTGTATGGTTTAAGACAAGCCATTGTTTAGCAAGATAAACTCATCCAGTTTTAAAATAACACTGTTCCATTCAAAGTTGTTTTACTTGTAACTTTCCATTCAATCATCTCTCTGCCTTACAGATATCACAGAGAACAGTGCCAACGTTTGCGACTCATTTATCTTTAATCTCCATTTTGCAAATAAAAATAAATTGACATAAACAACACTAGTACTGTCAGTTAAAAGCGTGAAGTGTTAATAAATAATTTTCTGTAGTCAGAAAGCTTAGGACGTAACAACAGCATCTGCCTTTTTCGACTTGGCATTATCCCACAGACGGAGGAAGTTGTACTGCCATCCGGGCGGTATGTCGGTCATACCAGTTTTGCCTGTGTCGTACCCTGGTGGCAGCGGTGGGCCTGTGGGACATCCACCTCCCACACAGCCGCACCCAGCCCCTACACATGGCAGCTGAGGCTGCTGGTCGCCGCATGGGTTACATGGACCAGAGAAGATGGGGCCGCAAGGGAAGCAGAGCAAATAAGGGCCGGTGAAATTGAAGCTAACACCGCCGCCGCCTCGGCCGTCAGGGCCTTTTGGACCCCTCGGACCTTCTGGACCAGTTGGACCTCGTGGACCAACGCCTCCGTCTCCTTGACCGACAAAGTCTCGTCCTTTAGGTCCGGCTGGACCTGCGGGGCCTGCGGGGCCGGCTGGCCCGTTGGGTCCTCTGGGACCTGCTGGACCTTTAATCAACAAAATTAAATTTTCATTTAGTTTGTACCTCTTTTTGCAGAGCTTCGAATTCAGTGAATTTTATTCAAGTGCATTTTATGCGGTGTTTTGTATTTTGGTGCTGCTTGCTACAATTTGACAAATGTTGCAGACAAAAGATCTTGGAGATAACAGTATATATCATTTTACAAACTAAAACCAGATAAAGAGATAAAAACCACAGATAAATTACCTCTGACCGTTCCAGCTGGTCCTGCTGGACCGTCCGGTCCTCGTGCTCCATCAGGGCCTCGTGGTCCAGTGGGCCCTTTGCGGCCAGTTGGTCCTGGTGGTCCTCTTGGTCCATCAGGTCCTCTGTCACCGGTGGGTCCCTTTGGACCTAAAAATAGAATTTTCACATTGAAGTCGGAGTCTTCATGGAGGGAATGATTTCAATAAAGCAGATCGCTGGTGCAAGTGATTGTTAGGGTGCGCTCGCTTGTAAATATGAGATTGAAAGTCCGTTCACGTTTCAGCCGCAGATCACACTTGATTAATATCATCCCAATTAATACCATTCTTCCTTAAACTTTCTTTCAACGATTGGGCAAAGGTAAATTATTCAAGATTCAATTTAGTATCGTAATCACGAATATATAATGTGTTCTTCGCCAATAAAGTGCCACAACAGAAGCAAATCGCGTACAGGATTGGAACAGCATTGGTGCGAATGATATTGTTATATATTTATTTAACATTTGTCCCTTGCAGTTTTTCTAAATAATAAATCTTTGTCTCTGAACATTTTAACATGGCGATTAGACTGATTAATCAGCTATGACATCACTTTAAACTGTATATCGTTTACTCACCCCTTTGTCGGCTTGGCGAGCCGGCTGGACCGCGGTCACCCGTGGGTCCTTTGGGTCCACGTGGGCCAGGACTACCACCTCTAGCACCTGGTTGACCGGGGGTTCCAGCTGGACCTGCTGGTCCGTCAGGGCCACGTCTTCCTGTCGGTCCCCTTGGGCCTGCTTCACCAGTAGCACCTGCTGGTCCGGCTGGACCTGGCCTGCCGCGATCACCTTCTGGTCCAGCTGGGCCTCTGGGTCCTGTGGGTCCTGGAGGCCCTCCTCCACCGGCTGGGCCTCTGGGGCCTGTGGCGCCTCTAGAACCTGGTCTTCCATCTCGGCCATCTCTGCCTGCTGGTCCTCTTGGTCCAGCTGCACCATCGGCACCTCTTGGTCCATCTGGTCCTCTAGGCCCAGTAGGTCCTCTGCCATTAGCTGGTCCCCTTGGTCCTGCTGGACCCCTGTCTCCATCAGGTCCCCTAGGACCTGCTGCTCCCTTCGTTCCTCTTGGGCCTGTTGCACCAGGTCTTCCATCAGCTCCGTCAGGACCCGCAGGGCCGGTAGCTCCTGGTCTTCCAGCAGGTCCACTTCTGCCAGGGGAACCTTTTGGTCCTGCTGGTCCTGCTGGACCGGCAGGTCCTCTAGCGCCATTCTGTCCATTTCTACCATTCGGTCCTGTTGGGCCTCGTGGACCTGCGGGTCCTGGCCTGCCTGCAGCTCCCCTGCTGCCTGCTGGCCCTGCATTTCCCCGTCTGCCATTAGCACCATTTTGACCATCGGGACCTCGTGCACCAGGGGATCCGGCAGCACCCCTAGCCCCATCTGGGCCTCTTGGTCCTGCTGGGCCAGCATCACCTGTTGGTCCTGCTGGTCCTGGTGGAGCAACACCTGCAGCACTAGGTCCTTCCGGTCCCCTTGGGCCAGTAGGTCCTCTAGCTCCATTGTTTCCGTTGCGTCCATTTGGTCCTGCTGGTCCTCTAGCACCTGCTGGTCCAGTTGCTCCACGGCTTCCATCTCTTCCATCAGGGCCTCTTGGACCAGGGGAACCTCGACGACCAGCTGCACCTGTTGGTCCAGCCCTGTTTTCTCCATCTGGGCCCCTTGGACCAGTTGGGCCTCTTGGTCCTGCTGGACCAGTAGCACCAGCTCGTCCTCTTGGTCCTGCTGGCCCTCTTGCTCCATTTGCGCCATTGCTACCTGCAGGACCAGGGCCTCCTGGGGCTCCTGCTGTCCCACGTGGTCCAGCTGCACCACGATTGCCAGCAGGTCCCCGTTCTCCAGCAGGTCCCGGTCTACCAGGTGAGCCTGCTGGTCCTCTTGCTCCTGTTGCACCATCAGGGCCCCTTCCATCAGGGCCTCTTGGACCAGTGGCTCCCCTCGATCCAGCAGGACCAGCTGCCCCTTGAGCTCCATTTTGACCATTTCTACCATTAGGACCCCTTGCACCTGCTTGTCCATTTGCACCTGCGGGACCTCTTGGTCCAGGTGATCCTGCAGGACCACGTGCTCCAGCACTGCCTCGTGGACCTGCTGGTCCTTGTGGACCAGGCTGTCCTGGGCTTCCTGCATCACCTCTGGCACCTTTAGCTCCATTACTGCCATCCCTGCCGTTCTGACCATTGGGACCTCTGCTACCAGTTGGTCCCCTGGCACCAGGTTGACCATCTCTACCTGCTGGGCCTTGGGGTCCCCTGTCTCCAGTAGGTCCGGCACCAGCTGGTCCAACAGGACCAGTTGGCCCTGCTGGCCCTCTTGGACCAGGTGAACCAGCTCTTCCCCTTGCTCCTCTGTCTCCATTACTTCCATCTCGGCCATCTGGCCCTCTAGGTCCAGTTGGCCCTGCTGCACCTCGTGCTCCATCTGCACCTCTTGCCCCATTAGCGCCAGCAGGCCCTGTAGGTCCAACTGGACCCGCCGGACCTCTGCTTCCTGCTGGTCCTGCATCACCCCTGGCACCTTTTGGACCAGTTGGGCCTCTTGGTCCAACACCTCCAGCAGACCCTGGTCTTCCAGCTGCTCCTCTAGAGCCTGCGGGGCCTGTAGGTCCTGCTGGACCACCAGGTCCACGAGCACCTGCTATTCCAGCTGAACCTCTTGCACCTGCAGGTCCTGTTGCTCCGACTGGACCAGGTGCACCTGCTGGGCCTGGGCCTCCAGCGCTTCCTCTGGGTCCTGCTGGGCCTGCGGGACCAGCACTTCCTCTTGGACCTTGAGCTCCTGTAGGGCCTCTCACACCCTGTCCACCACGTGAACCAGCTGGACCACGGGCGCCAGCAGCACCATTACTGCCATCACGACCAGCAGGTCCTCTTGGACCTCGAGATCCAGGGGCACCTGGGCTACCTGCTGGGCCTCGTGCACCAGCTGCACCAGCGGGACCTCTAGGGCCAGCAGGGCCAGTTGAACCTTTTGCACCATCTCTGCCAGGAGTACCGCTTGCTCCAGCAGCACCTGTTCTGCCATTACTACCATTTGGTCCTGGATCACCACGTGGGCCCTTGGTACCCTTAGGGCCTCTTGGACCAGCTGCACCAGCAGGACCTCTTGGTCCATCTGGTCCCCTAGGACCTGGACCTCCAGCAGATCCGGCTGGGCCACGGCTGCCAGCTCTGCCTGCAGCACCTCGGGCTCCGTCAGCTCCTGCCGGTCCTGTGCTTCCCTTGGAACCCCTTGGGCCTGGGGCACCATCTTGGCCATTTCTTCCTGCTGGCCCTCTGTCACCACGTGCTCCATCGGGGCCTCTTGGTCCTGGTCCTCCAGCTGCTCCAGGTGATCCGGCAGCGCCTGCTGGACCTCTTGCACCTGCTGCACCAGCTGGCCCACGGGGCCCTCTACCTCCAGGAGCACCTGCTGAGCCTGGGTTTCCTGCAGCACCCCTTTCTCCAGCCGGGCCTGCTGGGCCAGTTGGGCCCCTTGGACCTGGTGATCCCTTTGCACCAGCGGCCCCAGCGGCACCTGCAGGACCTCTTGAGCCAGCGGGACCTCTTGCGCCTCTTGATCCTGGGCCACCACTAGCGCCTGCAGGGCCGGTCGCACCAGCAGCACCTGGTCTGCCATCAGCTCCATTAGGTCCGGGGCCACCTCGTGGTCCTGAAAGTATCAGGTATGTGTCACAAACATTCATGTTACATTTAATCTTATTCATTCACACACGTGGCTCAGTTGTTGTTGTAACAAAATAAAATGTCTATTGTAAAAAATTAAACTATCACTTCTAACATCGCGGATTCATGCTTTGGACAAGAGTCTCATACACTATACCGTCTGACACCGTCAAGTTAAGTTTCATTTCACTATTATCATATATTTTGTAAGAAACTAATTAAATTCCAATACTCATTAATAAAAGGATCTTACTTAAGTTTTAAAGTTCGTGTAAATTTCAAGAACTGAAGCTTCCAAACCCAAACTTAATTAAACATCTTCTTATGAACAAATTGATCAATATTCGTACAAAGCCTCAAATATATCAGTTTTCTAAGAAAGAATCTGTAGAAATTCAATATACCTCCGGGACCTGTAGCACCAGAAGTGCCGGCATCTCCTCTCGCCCCAGCTGGACCTCTTGGGCCAACCGGGCCTCTGGAGCCTGCTGGACCTGCGGGGCCTGTTGCTCCACGAGCGCCATTATTTCCATCTCTTCCATCTCTGCCATTGGCACCTGTTTCATTGCCAAAAATTATTAAAATCATTCCATGTGCCATTATTGTTGTTCGTTACCTAGATATGATAAAATAGCCATCTACTTAAGGCAATAAAGTATTGCATATTTAATTTTTATACTATATGTATATACTTTTTTCTATACACATTTCGTTTACTGACCGTTAGGCCCGGTGGGTCCTCTAGGTCCAGCTGCTCCCGGACGTCCGGCTGGTCCAGCCGCACCCCTCTGTCCTGCTGCACCAGCGGGACCACGTGGTCCACGCCCTCCTGCAGATCCTCTGGCACCTGCCGTTCCTGATACAAACAGATGGATAAGAGGTTATTTACTCAGAAAACATGTTCACTGGGGAACAAAAATTGTGTTAAAAGGTGCCCATAATACTGCATACGTCTGATTTTCTTCCCGGCTTGCCCGCGTATGTCGCATACAGTCGACGACTAACATACACCACGTCTTATGCTTTAAACAGCAGTATGAACGCACTGAAGCGCATAAAAATACAGGCAAGCTTGCGTGCGAAATACAAGTGCAATTATCCTATTAAAGCAACATCTGTCTTTTAAAACAAAGTCAGTTACAACTTTTCGTCATCCACTGTATGCAAAAGTCAAGAGCAAATTACCGCATATCTATGCGCCACGTTCTTGAATGCCGCATACAGTGGACGACCTATGTCGTAACTAGTACAAACAACACAAGCGTTCGGGATGACCTTTTCCTCTTTTTAAAAAACCAATCAACTTCTCAAAGCCGTTAAAATGAACTGCAAAGGAAATGTGATCAACACTGCATTATGTTTCTCTTCAACAAGCACAAGTGTATTACCTGCGCGGCCAGCAGGACCCCGGTCACCGAGTGCTCCGTTTCGTCCATTCTCTCCTCTCGGACCTCTGGGTCCAGTGACTCCTGGTGCTCCCGTGCTGCCAGCGTTGCCTGCTGGACCTCTAGGGCCTGCTGGACCTCGTGGTCCTCTTCCTCCACGTGGACCAGGTGCACCATTGGCACCCGCGGCTCCGGCAGGACCTTGAAGCATACACGATTAAAGCATATTTTAATATACCTTAATTACTATATTGTTTTATTAAACTATTAAAAATTATCAAGTATATATAATATATAAATATATTTAGTATTAAAAGTCACAAAAGTCCAGCACAGCAGTCATGCACATACAAACACTTATGCAGAAAGACAGGTAAATTTTGACGATCTTAACTAAAGGATTAATTCACCTGGTGGTCCTCGGGCGCCAGTTGGTCCTCTACCACCAGGGACTCCGGCTCGGCCAGCTTGGCCACGGGCTCCGGCGGGACCTTGGGGCCCAGTTGGACCTCTTCCTCCAGCAGGGCCAGGTGCACCTGGGGAACCTGCCAGTCCAGCGGCTCCCCGACTCCCGTCTGGACCTCTTGGACCTCTGTTTCCGTCGGGACCTCTACCTCCGGCAGCTCCTGCTGGGCCCCGTGCTCCGGCAGCTCCACGGTCTCCCGTTGGTCCCTTTGGCCCAGCTGGTCCTGCTGGGCCAGTGCTTCCTGCAGCACCTGCCGGACCTGGGGCACCGGCAGGTCCTGTTGGTCCTCTAGGACCTGGGCCTCTTCCAGCCGGACCACGTGCTCCGGCGGCTCCTGCAGCACCAGCCGGTCCTTGATCTCCGCGTGGTCCTCTTGGTCCCCTGCCGCCTGCAGCACCGTTTCTACCATCAGTACCTGCTGCCCCTGCGGGTCCTCTTTCTCCAGGGGCTCCCCTAGGTCCTGTAGGACCACGTCCTCCTCTAGAGCCTGGCCTTCCACTTGTTCCTGCCGGACCTCTATCACCTGCTCGCCCAGCTGCTCCTCTGGGGCCTCGTGGTCCGGTTGTTCCGTCTTCTCCGGGGGCGCCGGCAGAACCAGCTGCTCCAGCTGAACCTGCGGGGCCTGCTGCACCTCGGGCACCATTGGGACCTCTAGGTCCTCTCCCGCCAGGTCCACCTAGAACAGTGCACCAAGTTGACTGAATCAGTAAATCGATAATACTCCTTAAAACACTAATGAGATATATACGACATTTCTGCAAGGCATGTCGTATAAAAACAGTTAATTAAAATCACCCCCAGTATTTTCATCCTCTCGAACATTCTTTTATCAGCAGAATTCATTTGGGCGTATGAATAGATCATTTTCACTCTTACCTAAATCTTACAAGTCCATGAAAGTATACACGTATAAACATACCTGGAAATCCTTGAGGACCTCTGTCTCCTGCAGGGCCGTCAGGACCGGCCGGGCCTCTAGGACCCATATCTCCATCTTTGCCGTCAAGTCCTACACAATATAATCAAAATATCTACTGCATTGCTCCATATATTTTAAAAGGGTCATAGACACGTGGTTCAGGTTTTCCATATATGTACACAAACACTAAATACACAAAAAAAGTTTTTATTATCACACATAAAAATCCTTACAATACCATTCATAAAATTAAACAGTAAAGGCTTTTAGTTTTGTATTTTATTGGTTTATTAAATTGTTGTCTTTAAAGATGAAGGACAATGAATTTCCAATGTGACCGTACCTGGTTCTCCAGCGCGGCCTGGTTGTCCCCTTGCGCCATTAGGTCCAGTGGGTCCAGTGGGTCCTTTGGCCCCAGTCGTACCTGGTCGGCCTGCGACACCAGCAGGACCTCTAGCACCTGCCTGCCCTCGCGGACCCATGTCACCTAAAAAACAACAGCAATACTTGTTCCAAACACATTATATGCACCATTATATAGACATATGCAATGCAGAGGTATGGTGCTACCCGTTGATATATGTCAGAGAACTAGATATGCATTAAAACAAACATAAGAGATCACTCAGTGGAGTTTGTTCATTTGCAAGGAGATAAGTAGAAAAGGAGGAAAAGGAAACATATATTTACGACTAAAAGACCTGCGCCACAAGTTTTAAGAGTATTCACATTTTGAAGAAACCCAGTGGTGAAAATGGAGTTTAAGACCAGATGGTTATTGTATGTAATAACTGTACAGGTGTACACAGCCGCGATGTTTACCTCTGCGTCCTGGAAGTCCTGGCGATCCAGCTGGACCCGCGTCTCCTGCCGGTCCTTTGGCTCCCGGGCGTCCGTCAGCACCAGCAGCTCCTCTGGCTCCTGCCGAGTAAATGATTAATTTTAAAATATTAGGGGTCACGAATGGCGGAGTCTATGAACACAAGGTGAGACTGAGAAACCTTGCGACACGGATACGTGAGCTACAAACAGATAAATTGGTAGACAAATGTTTCGATTTTACTTAAAGTGATCATAAATTAAATACGGTTTTGTGGGTTTTGAGGATAGGTTATATTTAGTCTTTTGTGAAAATCAGTTCACTGATCTTATCGCGTGTCCCAGGGAAAAAAACAGGCCATACCTGTAGGTCCCTTTCCTCCGGGCCTGCCTGCGGATCCTCGTGGACCCGTTGGGCCACGTGCTCCGTTTCTACCATTATCTCCTCTGGGTCCTGTAGGTCCTCTACTTCCAGCAGGGCCTAAAATACAGCAAAACCCAGTGACACCCTATTCCTGACACCTTTTTCATTCTTTAAGCGTGATAATTGACTGTTAGTACTTTCCAATAGCTGTTATATTGTTAGGATGAAAATAGAAAATCCTGATGCTCTGAACAACCTTGCTAGATTTATTTATCATGGTTTGATTATTAGAGAAAACTGATGTGAAATGTCGAACTGTAACCTTGTGATGTATTTGCTATGGGCCGGTGGCCTTTATCAATTGAATAAAGCCTAATAGCTTCAGCCCAAAGGTTGTGGCAGTATAACAGAATTGACTCAGATTTCTTTACCTCGGTCTCCTTGTGCGCCTTTAGCACCGGCTGCTCCGTTTTGTCCGTCGGGTCCTCTTGGTCCTCTCGCACCTTGTTGTCTGTTTGGTGACCCGGCTGGTCCTGCTGGTCCTGTAAAGTGGGGAATTATGGCTTAATCTAGTGTATTATTAAACTGATGTTATGCGAAGATTTTACTTGCGCCTCTGCACGTGCTGCCTGTAACATTTTTTATATTAAGACATACACATAAATAGATGGACATACGTTCAGACAGACATATAGACAGCCGGACATATAGACAGACCTGCTGGGCCGGCTGCTCCTCTGGCACCATTAGCTCCGTCTCGTCCGTCAGGTCCTCTTGGGCCAGCGCTTCCCGCTGGGCCTGCAGGGCCTCTAGAACCCGGTCTGCCGTCAGGGCCTGGTGGTCCTCTGGCTGTCCCCGCTGGGCCGGCAGGTCCCGCAGGTCCTGTTGGACCACGCGCACCTGGACTGCCATTAGCACCTATAAAGTGATTTCACTCAGATTAGTTGTAAATTTGTCATGATTTACGGTAATAAATGTCTCTTTACGTTTCTGTTGATGTGTATATATGTTTATTCTTATATCCCAAACATATCATAAGTTATAAAATCGATCATGATTTATAGTTACAAATTAACCTTTTCATTTCTGTTGATATGCATATTTGTGAATTCTTATATCCCAAACATATCACAAACCGCAACCACCAGACAGAAATGAAGACATCGTCTTAATATACCTGGTCTTCCATCAGCACCGTTGGCACCACTGGGGCCAGTAGGGCCTCTCGGGCCAGCTTCACCAGCAGATCCTGCTGGACCCGCGGGGCCGGTTGCTCCACGGGCCCCGGGGTTACCATTTCTACCATCTCTTCCCGGGGCACCAGTTGAACCTGGGCCACCTGGGCGTCCATTGGAGCCTGTTTGACAAATAAAACGAAGTTGATGTATTTAAGTATGTCGGTGGAAAGAAACCATTATTTTCAGCATACTAAAATTATCTTAAATATTTATTTCAAAGAATCGCAATCTGCTACTGATTGAAAGATGCGTGTAACACTATAAGATACAGGTAACAAGCGGTAGGTACATTTCACCTTATTGCACAATACGGGCAGTTTTTCTGCACGAATAAGTTGGAAATAATGCTAAGGTTGGGAGACATTAGTCAGACATTTAACAATAATAATTATGGCAATAATTCTCACCGTCTCTCCCAGCTGGCCCTGCTGGACCTGCTGGCCCTGGTGGGGACGGTCCAACTGGGCCGGCATCTCCCCTTGGTCCTTTGTTGCCATCGGGTCCTCGGGGGCCAGCTGGACCTTGAGGTCCTCTTGGGCCAGGGTCGCCTGAAATTTAAAAAACTCGTGTATAAATCACACATGGAAACGTGAATCGAGCCTATTTTTAATATGCCATCCGTACAAAAGTCCAAATGCATATTTTTCTTGTACACATTAACGTGTAGATTAGATTCATCTGAAATCATTCGTTAAACGTTGACCTGAAGAGATTGGAATTATTTTTATTAGGTGTTCATCAAATTAATATTTAGTTAATGACTGCAGCCTTATCTACTAGGTCTATGCCAGACCTCCTCAAAGATGATGCATTTTTGGTGGTCATTTCACTATTTGGTTCATAGTATCACTAATGACACCTTACATACCGACAGGCCCTGCGGGTCCACGTCTTCCTTCTTCACCCGGAGCTCCGGCAACACCAGTTGGTCCCTTAGGTCCGGCCTGCCCCACACCTCCTCCGGTCTCTCCCTTGGGTCCCATGGCCCCTGTGATTCCTGTAGGTCCTTTGGGGCCTGTGGGCCCACTGACACGGCCTGTCTTTTGTAGAACGCTCACGACCAGGTTAATTGCTGAAAAAGAAAAGTGCATATTGCATCAACTATTAGTCTCTGTATATCACCAGTAAAAAAACAGGGTTTTTCTACGTATTTTATCTAAACGTGATACGATTACCTTAGCAAAAAGATTAGATTTAACAACACAATTGTGGAAATTAGTACAATAAGTTAAACTGAATAACAAGGAAGGTGCTTCAACCTAGTTAAAACTGGGGTTTTACTTGTATATTCTACCCTGGAGAAAGACAGAAATTTCTAAAATACATTTCAATATGTTTTTTAAAAATAGATATCAGTAAAAAGAACCCAACCGGTATCCAATGACTTACTGAGAGTACACTCGTCTCCAAAGAATGGTTCCTTGCACTCGCACTCGAAAGGATCATTAGGTCTTCCAGTAAGCGTGCACCTGCCTCCATTGCATGGGTCACCCTCGCATGCGATTGCTGGAAGAAAGACCCACAGCGTTCAGATCTTAAAGACGTTCAGTGAAAATTTAAAGAGAAGCCCTCTCTATTTGTATATACTTATACTCATTTTTACTAAGTAGGATATAATAAAACTATTCCTGTAATAAGTCAAGACTGATTTCTCTGGTCGATTTTTTTCCTTAGTGCTCTACGCTGTCTTCTGTGCACTTACGGGTCTCACAGCTCTTCCCAGTATACAGGGGCATGCACTGACACTTAAAGCCCCCTGGCGCTGGCTGAGGGATGCAGGTGCCTGCGTTCTGGCATGGGTTGGGGAGGCAGGCTAGGATGTCTACTGTCAGGTCTTAAAAGTAAACCAGAAACATATGATATAACACATATTTAAACGACAGTAATGAGCCGATTGAAACGGAGTGGAGCTTGTAGCAAATTCTAAAAAAAAAGTGAAGTAAGGTTTTGTTCTTATGGCTTTGCTTTTAAAAACAACACTTAATATGGTATACCCAAATTTATTAGTAGTACTAATACTTAGATACGTCAAAAGCACACTTCACATCCCTAAAAGAACTGAATATGAAAAATATATACGAGATTTGCTTTGAGCAATTAAAATACACATTTCCTGTAAATACAAGAATTGGGAACAAAACAATTCGTTTAGAAGAATTGTACATACCAATCTGACAATATCGGCCATAGTAGTTATCAGGGCATAGACACAATCTTCCGCCAGATGAGTCTAGAACGCATCTTCCACCGTTCAAACAGTAGTTGTTGGACACGTCTCGTGGGTTGCATAGCGTCGCTGAAACGAAAAGAGCTCCTTTAAGCCACCTGATTCCAAAAAAAAAAAAAAAAAAAAAAAAAAAAAAAAAAAAAAAAAAAAAAAAAAAAAAAAAAAAAAACGGTGACTACAAGAAGATGCTTTCAAATGAATTAGTTCTTATTCCATTTCGAATCTTGAAAATAAAATGTATTTTTCTAGGTAAAACTACCCCGGGTAGGCAACAGTTACATTATAAAACAAAATAGTAATCATTTTACAGCACTGGTGAAAGGATCAATGCACGTTGATCACTTGACACCTTCAATTTTAGTAATATTGTAACTAAATATTAAAACATGAGCATATTTGAACTTAGAGACCATTCCCAGAGACTATCGTACTAACTTTGGATCGAACTACATGTATCTCCAAGGGGATTCTCTCTTAATTGTAATTAAGTAAGCTGATAGGGGGTAATTAACTATCGTTTAGCAGGCGTTATTTAGTAGGCGTCTCAGACATCTAAGCCACTTAAGCTGAAAGCAATTTAGCGAGAAACCCCGTGGAGATGGACCGATCCTGTTAGATCGATCTAGGGATGGGAACCCAGTCTTACTCGATTCACAGTTCTTTCCACCGTAGGGTTCTGGGCAGGAACAGGTGTACTCCCCTGGTCTGGCACCATCACGGCACCTGCCGCCATTTTGGCAGGGGGAGCCACAGCAGCCTGCGCAGGACTTGGGTACCACTATCACCGTGGTGCCTTTATCGGTGACGGACGATGTTCCGTCTGAAATAAAGTTAGGTAAGGTCTAAAATGGTACGTGGAAAGTTGGGTTTACAAAGATATAGTGAGAGGATGTGGTAGATGGTTTTGGTAGCATATACGTACATTATTTTGAAGCTTAAATAGCATGAAAACGATTTAAATCAGCCATTAATATAATATCTGATGATACATTTAATCATATTTAAAATGATAGATACAAATTGACTCTTAGATACACAAGGTCTTCCAATACCTTTCAGTGTTTATTGCATTGAAAGCATTCTATAGATCGGTAATGGTGTTTCATTTCCTGCAGAACTCATTGTCAAACTTTTAAATGGCCAAAATATTAATTTCGTCTTTGGACAAATTATTAACAACAACAAACAGCTATATTTAACATGTACCTACCTATTTGGCATGAACTTCCAAAGAACGGTTTGATGCACTTACAGTACATGGAACCGTCTGAGCGCATTGCACATTTACCGCCATTCAAGCAGCTGAGGCCGCCGGGTGATGGGCAGGCTCGCACTGAAAGGTCAGGGTCATATTATAAGTAAGGTCAAGGTTAAATTTAAGGTCAAGGTCGCAGATTTATGTAGCAAGGCGTAGAATGACAGACGTTGTCTCTTAGAATTTTGATATTGTTCTAAACATTGAACCTTGGTTTCTATATAATTTTATGATACTAAAATGGTATTATCAAATTTATCTAGGATTAATGACGACATCAGTACCTTTTTGTATGAAAATCACACGCCCTGTTTGTCAAATTGAAAACGGACGATTACCTATACTATCTTCAGGTATACAAAAGCGTCATCAGTGTAAACTCACCTCCGTCACAGGTATGTCCCGTGTAAGGGTCTTTACACTCACACCGGAAGCTGTCCCCCTCAGGCATACATTTACCACCGTTCTTACACGGGTTGATTCTGCAGGGGGGATCTGGCTTGACTGAAATGACACAATAAACATCACATTATTTCGTGATAAAAATTTTAATACGCGCTTTTTATTTGTATTTTTTTTTTTGTTGTTAAAGAGTCTAAAATGAACGTAGAATTCAAACATGTAACGGTAATTATCAAAACCTTTTTATATCTTCCTCTGAGTCAAGTCTAAGGCATCCTAACAAGGCCTGTATTTTCCAACGCGGACAGCGCACCATTAAGGCGCCACTGATGACTGTAATATCAAGACCACTTACTGTAGGACGGGCAGCATTGGTAGGCAATGGCCAGGTTGGGCTGCTGGGTCTGCTGACACTCGTCTGTCATGTTGACCCGGCAGTACCTCATGCCGTCACAGTAGGCTCGCACCTTGTCCATGAAACACTCAAACTCTGGCAGAGTGGTCGTGCAAGACGGGTCCACGTTTCTGTCACAGAAACGCTTCACGTGGATGTGCTGCTTGCCACAGCTCATCTCCATGAAGGTGTTGTCACAGTCGTACCTGCCGTATTGCTCTGGAATGAAAAGGACTCAGTATGGCTCTACGTTCTCTTTTTCTATATTTTGTTCTTTCCTCAAATATATATCACAATATTTGATGATTTAATCAAAACTTGCTCTTTTCAAAAACATTATAACGACCGTCCAATTACTGCGGTACTTATTATTTACCATTGTAATTTTTCTGTTATTTTTTTCATGTTAATTATGATATAGTGTAGTCAGTTCAATTTTTACGATAGATGTAAGTAATATGTCTTATCTTATTCTCATCTATTTGAACTGATTACACTATATCATATAACTATAACTGTAATATATAAGTACCCAAATACCTCACGCGGTGCGATTTGCTACAGTTAAATTCAACGGGAAATAAAATTCAATAGGAGAATGATCGTGATGGCCTCCGAATATATAACTATGTTCCTCAGGAAAGAGGGCTACTTCAAAAAGTCTTCCACGTTCTCTAAATGTAAAAGATGTATAAACATGATCCAATGGCGTGCTTACCCCCAATACAACAAGCCTGGTTGTCGCCCTTCTCACAATAGTGACCGTAGAAACCACACGGGCAGATGCACCGGAAACCTAGAAATATTAAACAATCATCATGTTTTTGTTCTTACCGGGATTTTTGTTGCATTACAAGAAAGTACAGCACAGAGCAATGTCTTTTTTCATAAAACAAGAAAGTCTTTTCTCACAAAATTCAGATTTGGTTTTAACGACCTTGTTAGATATTATCCTGGGCTCCTATACGCAGTACATGAAGTATCGTAATGAGGAAGTGTGTGTGTGCCATCATGTTGTCTTCTCTACGTACCAAGGATTTGGTTCTTGCTGTTGTATACCTTGGAGCATCTGCCGCCATTGGTACACACGGCACAGCCACTGCCCGAACACGAACACGGGTCATAACTTTGTGCTAAAACAAGGATATAAAAATAATTTTAAAATAGATGATTGCAGAATGATCAAGACGGCAGCTAAGACAGGGACTCTTTGGGGAGCTCTGGTGAACGCCCTGTGTACCACTGGAAACGAAAAGGATTAACTGAGTAACTAAATATTGCAGAATTATATGTGTACGTGGACCGTTCCATTTAAGTATTCCACTCTTTTATGAAAAAGTCTTTACAAAAAAAGACACCAGGAAAAGATACACTGGGTTACTTACTGTATCCACATCCTGCACTGGTGCATCCCCAGTCTTCCTGTGGGGTCTCCTGAATAGGAAGAGGCCCAATAGGTCCTACAGGCGGGGGTACTTCAGACTCCGACCTGGAGTATGCCACCAACACACCTAGCAGTAGCAGGTGTATATGGCCGCCCATAATAACTGAAAATAGACACAACATATAGTATTGGGTTTGGCTTGCTGAGTTGCATTCTATTCTATTCTATTCTATTCTATTCTATTCTATTCTATTCTATTAAGTTTATATTTTAATATAGTTAAAACTATCTGGTTTCACGCAGGCTGAAGATTTTAGTATCCTAATAATAATGGAGTAGTTTTTTTCCAAGGTTCATGATATTTTTACTTTTGAAGATACGACCAATTCAGAGGTGTTTAATACATAATTATTTATTTTAATTATAATTTTAATTAATAATACATTTAAAACTGTAGAATGTGTTATGCTGTTGACAAACATGTGCTCAGAGATGGACATGAGAACAAGACTACTGTGCATTTACCCGATCACCCGAAACCAGATTACAATTTTTTTAGAAAATATTAATTCGAAACATTGAGAGGTTGAAATTTATTGAAAACGTTCAGAAAAATAAACAACATACACTAATTTATCCTAGATTATGGTTATTTGGAAATAATTAGGCTTAATATCAATTTATGTGACATTCCTTCACGGTCGCACGTCTAATGTCACTGTAATTAAGACCGATAAAGCGTCGCACACAGGCAAAATGTAATAAAACTGAGTCACATTGTCTGCGGTCACAGAACGTTCCGTATCAGCCCGTGTCGCGGTTATGTCATTACATGTGATCGCTTCATCTAAGATACTACCAAAACATGTTGTTCGGCTCACAGAACACACAATAACGGTGTTAAGGTGACCTTGACATCTGCTAACGACGTGTTCACACGCACACCTTACTGTACATCGCGCTGACTTAGAGATGCTCCTGGGAGTAATTCGAACACTGTTCGTAGTGTTAGGTTGTCCTATAGCAAGTTGCCGCATTCAGAGAATTAATAGGAGGAAAAAGGAAAAGAGACCACATTTGATAAATCTTTTCGGACTTACATGGAGAATCTACGTTAAACCGTGGAAGGTTATCAGATACAGTACATAGGTGCATGTTCATCTCCTTGTACATCGGTGCCAACATGAAACAATGGGTTGCAAAACCGACGTCAATCACTTGGCATCATCATCATCATCATTATTATTATTATTATTATTATTATTATTATTATTATTATTTATGTCTAACATGTACTACTGTAGAAATAAATAACATCATTCGTTCAAAAATATGTTTCCTATCCTTTACCAAAATCTTTATTGAACCCTGCATTGACAATAGTTTTCGATTCCTCAAAAGCTTAAATGGTATAGTTCGGGCACCAAACAGTCCTGTTAATTATATGAATTCAATGAGGGCGAGACAACGAAAAAGACCGCGGCTGGCATATAAAGAGGACAAAACATCATTTTGTATTTTGATATCTGTTTGATAATGTGAAAACGCCCATAGAATTGTGGAACAATTGTATGGTTTACACATTATGGTAAAATCATGACTTCCAGCTGTAGACAATGACCACACTGGTAATAAAGAGGAAATTGTTTCCCGTTTTGAGTCACTTGTTCAAAAATATTTAAGTATTAAATGGAAAATTAACTCAATGTTCACCAGAACCATCATGATAACCCCAATTGAGTGTGTGTTCCTTTATATTGCAATTAGTTTAATGGGTTGTTTTATGTTAAAAGTGGGAAAACTAAACATTTGTGGCTTCAGGTGCAAGTTAAGTATTTTCAATCCCTAATATTAAAATGGCATGGATTTATGACACATTATGGATAAAATGCACTTTTACTACAAGTTACATGAAAAATGTAAGCATGCCCACAAAAAGCTTAATAAGTACCCTTGAGTCATGCTGAAAATGTACTAAATGTGTCACGTCAAACTGTGGGGGACGACGATATATGACTGAAAATACCAATCTTATTTGAATATTAAAGAAACCGTTTTTGTTCTCAAAGTCATCCCCAATATATCCCCCAGTTATATCTCTGGCACACTTTTTGGAGTGGCTGATATATCTGCCATGCACAACGGGTGGTGCAACGTCAATTTTCACCTTAAAGTCAATTCATGTCAAAATGCCAAAGTACCCGGTCACATTTGAACCAACCGTGTGTCTGACAAAATTATTAAATGTCATTTTGCACATAACACGCGAGTTTCCTCCAAGCGTTGTAGAAAAGTTGAGCCTTTGTGACCAAAATGGACTATTTTTATTTAATGTCTTTAAAGTGATTTAAAACATGCTTTCATGTGTTGCGTCTTGTCTTCAGTGTACCTTAACATTAAAAATGGCCGTGTTAAAGGCTTCGCTATAGTGATGTAAGCATAGCTACACATTTCCTTGCAATTAAATGCAGTTAAATAAAAATCAGCAGTCTGCGGTCATTTTATAACGCAAATTTTCGAATTCCACACAATTATGGAGGTATTTGAGCCTGATTTAATAGAATTTTTCATCCAAATTAAGCTGGTTTATTTTTCCATTGCATTCGACGCCCACTGCGCTGCTCTAAAATGCATAATAACTCTTAAGGGCGGATAAACTCAATATATTTCATCAAGTCAGAAAGTTGCTCTGACAATTTAAAATCTTGTGATATACGTGTTTGACGTGTACAACAAAAGGTCTGATGTGCCTTAAAAGATTTGACAGTACATTTTATAGCATTTTGACTGCAAATGTAACAGTATCATATTTTAATGAAAGTTGTGCCTTTTTTCGTTCTTTTCTTTTCATAAATCAATTCCGAGTATTACCTTTGCTATTCAAATCAACCTGATGCCCAGCGTACATGTACCGTTAGAACAACTGTTATTTTCATTTTAAACAATTATTTTGATTTTAATTAGCCCACAGATTTACAAATGTAAATTATGCAAATAATTAAGAGCGAATAAGGGAACAAGTTTCGATACGCCAAGAACTTTACATGATAATGAAGCTGACGAAGCAATTATGTGACAAGCTTGACTTCACTGCCATCTGGCGAGTTTTCAATAAGGGCCATGGGGGGTCCGATAGCATGTGACGTCAGACACCGTCAGATATCAGAAATTCTACGTAGTTGAATCGTATAACTGACTATAATTTTGCCAATATTTTAGAAATTTGAAAATGTTGGAAGGGACCCTAAAGATGTCATCACACTAGTTCAGGTTGTAATTAAACATAACCTCGATTAAATTCTAAAATGAGTGGACTATGATCAGTTCTTATGAGACAACATTCCCCACTTTCTGGTATTATATGAATGCTGCAGTGTTTACTAGGTGCTTATAAAGCGCTGAAAAGAAGTTTCTATGTACGGAGATGTAGCTGGTATCAGTAATTGGACTTTAGTACTGTAAAGAATTGACATTATAATTCCAGGCGGTATTATCAAAGCGCAATCATTAGTCATTAGCCATTTGCTAAAAATGCTATTTAGATGGTATTTAGAAAATACATTAAATGACACGTACTTGTGGTTTACATTTCTTTATGCGCGTTCGCGTTCCATTCCGTGCGTGTTAACTTACGCGCACACAGACACATAACTCCTCCGTATGTGACATTATAACTTAAAAATAAGTATTCAGCAAATTGCGAACGCGTGAAGCTGTACTAGTTAACATGTATACGACACTCCAGCAATACGTCGTCGGTGATTTTATATTTAAATCGATCCTGGACTGTTCATAGGGCAGTGACGTGTTACCTAATTTAATCCGTTCGAATTTAAATGATATTTATGCAAAAATATTTAAGTGCTAATCAGTAAGTGCTTGTTGATACGGACAAAGTTCTAAAGCATAATTAACACAGTTCGCCTCTGTTAATTCATTACTTGTTTTAACGATATTGTTTTCGACCGTGGCAACCTTACTGTTCATTCCACAGGTGGGCATGACAAATACAACGTAACTCCCCTTCGTTAAGATTTATAAATTTAACCTCGTTTTATGTTGCGTACACAGTTTTAATTAAGAGATATAAATATGCATGTTACATACTTCTATCAGCCGTAACGATGTCGTTTCTGTTTAAAAGGTATAGATTTCTGTAAACACAAACCTGCCCAACAAAAGGAAGGTACTTGGCTAATACCGTTAATACCACTGTTTTTCTTATTTCCCAACAATTAAATGAAGAAGCATTTAGATTACAATTTGGATGCATTGTGCTTTTCTACGAATTCTTTAGTATAAAATTGCCTTATTTTGAAATAACTCTTGTTGCCTAAAATGAGTCAACAGTTGTGTAGAGAATAGAATAGATGCCATTTCAAAACACTCAGCATCTTCAGAAACCAGCATCTCGCAGTAGGCCAGTCTGTAGGTGATTTCATGATAATGTATTTAACCTATTCTCTATTAATCTCTGAGAGTCCCATATATCTCTTAAATCCTATAGCATTTGGTATTCAGATAATGAAATTACATTAAATTCCTTTTTTGACCAATAGATATGGTATATCGTGTTTGATGTTTGCTGACAAATATGGTAAAAAGTAAAACTTTGAACCCTCGAGTTCCGTAATGTTCCTATTGGCATCAGTGCATCTTTTGAAATAGTCTTTGTAATTTTTCGTAATTGTGTCTTCTGTATGATAACAGAGTAACGTTCAAAGAATGGTGGCACAAACAGTTACGTTTCTCTTACTTTCCATGCAAACGCTATGTTAAACCGACCATCATCATGGCGACCGTAATTAAAGTAAAACACCAATAGCAACTCAAAAACACCAATAGCAACTCAAAATAATCCAAAAACTTATCTCCAAACCCAAAAGAAAATTCTTACAAAATTTGACCCACTACTTACCAACTATGAGCACCAACTAAAAGTTTCTTGAATCTTAAGTCCTTCGCTTCGAAATCGTCTTCTTGTCCTTGGAGAGCGAAAGGACTGGAGCCCCTTCCTGTAGCGTGTAGCAGGGCTGAGGCGGTACTACCAGTGTCAATGTTTTAGTACCTGTCCATTACCGCCATTTTGAAACACCGTTTCTCAATGTTTCTTTGAAGACATTGATTAACCATGGCAGGGGCGACATCAAGCGCGGAGGTTGTCCAGAAACATGGATAACTGTGACGTTTTTCCGTGACACTGGGTGGCGCCCCAAGGAGATTAAAATTGAGTCCGTGATATGTGTAAGACTGTTCTTACCCAAAAAGGTAAAATCGGCCGCATGCCTCAGTTTTCTCTGCTGTATAGGCAAGCCATTACGCGCTGTATACCAACCACCATTCACCTGTTGATGGCTACATTAAGAAGTATTTGCAAATTTAAGTGTCTATTAAGGGTGTTTTAATATGTACCGGAGCTACAGGGGCGTAAAAATTGAGGTTTTCCTTAAAGTTTGTGTAGTGAAAATTTCAATTAGGGAAACTGCGTGACCGTGACTTGAATTAGTTTGATATTTACGATAAAAAGTAAAATATTGGCATGTATTTTATTTCTAGATCCCCACACTAAACTAAACTAAACATCTTGTTTTTCAGGCGAAGTGAAACTGATTTGTAAAGCAGGCAAACAGTACAAAAATACATACAGACTAAGAGATTGCCATATAAAGCATAATACAGTACAGAAACTTTGTCGGTAGTCCAAACTCGTTAGCGCTTTGGCAAGTCTTTGCTGGCTCATTTCTTCGTGCCTGTCTCCTCACTTCATCAACCCAACAGATAACTGACGGGAGGCGTAACACGGGCAAACCCAACCGCGATAATACACTGTTTTTCAGCTATCCCGCCTAGCGGTAATACGCCGTACACAGGTCTTGATCTATGATAAACTTCTAGATACATCCTTGATAAAAGTTATACGATACGACATTAAACTTCACCCAGAGAGATCTATGATTGTGGTATTATATTTAGAATCGTATTAAACCTGTTGATATGCTACTATATCTGGAGCAAGGTTGGGAATCGTGTAATTTTAGCTTGTTTTGTTGGAGTAAAAACATTTTATTTTCAGTGAATATACTTTTTGTTGACTGCAGACCAGAGAGAGAGAGAGAGAGAGAGAGAGAGAGAGAGAGAGAGAGAGAGAGAGAGCTGATGATGATGATGATGATGAAAAATGAAATCATTACCGTTCTATGAAGAGTTATTATCTTATTTTTCCTGTTCAAACGAAAATAAATAAATAAGTAAATGAATAAACTAATAGTAATAGTAGTGAAAATAATAATAATAATAATAAATATTTAACAGACAGTTGTGTCAAACTCGGGGTGCCTCACAGTTTCGTAATTAGTATTGTTCACTTATTATTCATTAACTCAATTAATAAATTGTCTTTATTACAACGTACAACCCAGATAGAACATGGCGAATAGGAGAGTAAAAAGTGCGTCGTAGAGGTAGACATGCAACACACGATTCTCTCTAATATTGGAGACAGAGCTAGGAGAATAAAACAAATGAGATACACGACATTTTTACAAACATAAAACTGTCTCGTCAAGCACCTGTCGTAGACCGTGACCAATCGTAACACCGTTATAAACCAGTCGACAAAGGCTGGATTTTAGTATGTATCTATTAGCTGGCATTACATATTTATATTTCGTTTTTATGGGCGAGTGTTGAAACATCCGCGAAACTTTCCACTATAATCACGGCTGCTAAAGTTCGGCATAAAGTTTACATCCACGTGTTGATCACAAGTACAATTACAAAGTAGTCAGAAAGACATTACATGAGCTACTTTAAAGTGTACGATAAAAAGATCATATGTTGGAATTCATGCTTATGGACTGTTTTTAAGAGCATTTGAATTAATAAATCTTTGTATGTTTGTTACTTTAATTCTATACATTGCAATTATATATATTTTTTATTCTTCGACTTTTTAAGGTTATATATAACTCAATGAATAACAAGTTTTTTTTTCTTGGGGGGGGGGGGGGGTCCGAGGTGAGTGGGGCGTTGTACCCCCATCCCCGGTACTTGCAAGAGTCCACGCATCAACAGCAGCAACAACAAGCCGGTCGTATTTTCAAATTAGAAGGGACACAAAGGCCATATGATCAGCTAAATCTCCACGTTGGTGGCACGTATACATTGTACATGTAGGGCCGATCTAAATAATTTATAATATGTAATATTATTAAATATCTAAATAATATATAATTTTATTATTAGGGCCTAATTATTTTCTGCCCGCCCTGCAAGTGGATAGGCTTACTTTAAAGTATTTATATGTCGTACCGGGTACTTAATGGGGTCCTCTCGTCCCTTGTAAAATTTGTTTAAATAATAAATTTAGAAACATCGTTGGTTGGATTCATCAAAAATTCCCTGGTCTTAGCTTGTACCCGGCACTCGTTGTGACACCATCTTTAGATAATATGCCCTTATTTTGGAAAAAGAATTATGGATAAGAGATTATTTTTCCATGGAGCTATGCTGTTATTTTCCCGGCTATCGTTTAGTTATTTGTGGTGTAGGAGGGCACCTCTGTGCCATCGCCAAAGACAGTTCATTGCGTTTGCTGAGACATTTAGATTGTGTCTGGTTGTGACTGGCTGGGAGACATGATTGTGTTTTGTTGGTGTCTGCCACGAGCGAGCAGATTCCCACGTGACAAATTACATTCCTACCGCTTGCGATGAAGTTTTTTTCATTTATAACATTTGTTAACGTACATTTACTTTTTTTGCTGTAAAATAATTAATTGCTTCCATTGTAAAGAGGTTCGAAAAAGTAAACGTCAACTACGTAAATTTTCAACTCAGCATTCATTTTGAAATGCTTAATAAATTTGGTAAATGTAAAATGCCTAAAATTGGTTTTCTTCTGTTGAAGAAACTGGAGGTATTATATGATATTCAGAAGATGACAGAATATAGCGCAATGAAAGCCATGTAACTGCACAGGGCCGCTCAAAGTCAGTGAATAGGCGATAAAGATTGACTATATTTATGTAATAAATAATTGATTTACTTAATAATTTTGTTTGTCATTGGCCATTTTGTATATTTCTTTTTAATACAGTAGGCCTATTTTCGACATACTTCCAGAAAAAAAAACAAAAGGGTGTTGAAGCTTTCCATTTGTTTCCTTCAATTCACACCTCTGTTAATAGCGCAGCCACACTGCTATCAGGGGTGTCACACCTTTTAACAAACATTGGAATCAAATGATGAGTTGTTTGACAACCTTCAGGTGCTTGTGACTAATAACTTGAAGAGGAAATATTTTAGGTACAGATGGCAAGGGTCTGTTTTTAGTTGAAGTGTGAATTACAGAGCATTTTAAAAGAATATTGTAGTTGAATATTTGTATAGCTGATAAAATTCAACAATAAATCGTATGTAATTGTACAATGATATGTTTTACCGTTGCAGCTTGGCAGTGGCTATTCATGTATCGTAATTGAAACACTGAAGTCACGCAAGAAAAATAAACTGCTTCTGTCTTTTTTGCATAATACAATTTTTAATTTTAATATTTCAATCAATCCAAAACCCTAGAGAGAGAATATAAACATCTATAAGCTTACAGACCCTTACACAGAAGGCGCTTGAGAGAGGGGTTGAAACAAATTTGCTTTTGGCCAAAAGACAGAAAGAGGTCCACTCTGTGATGAAAATTTTATCTATAGTTCTACCCACCAAAACTAGAACGTTTTATAACGTTACCATAAGTTTTTTGGTCATATAAACTTTATGATGACGTTTTAGTAACGTTCTGTTTGCGAAGTATAGGCCGTTTCTCATATGAAACTTAAGGCAGTTAGGTCGATCTAAATCTAAATCTCTGGATCGATCTTAATCTCTGGGAATACACCCTTAGTGGGGTAAAATGTCCACTTAAAAAAAAGACCCCTTGAAAATTGCTGTCTACAGGCCTGTATTTAAATATCCAGTTAAATGTTCCACCTTTCCTGACCCTGAAGTACCTGGTAAATGTTTTTTGAGACCAGCACCAAATTATCCTATATAAGCACACAATAGGAGACTATTGTCAACTTGATTTTAATTCAGGTAGGCAATGTTTGTCTCTAAATTTTCTTAAACAACCACACAAAGAGGAGGTTCATAGGGGTGCCCCCGGTCCCCAATTCTTACTACTTATCTTAGAATCCATGCTCATAAAGCTCAATTAGTTTTTGTTTGCCTAAAACACGTGGGTTGGCTAAGCTCCCTCTTAGATGACACGCCGTCTGTTGTACGGGTTGTTTTTCCTTCAAATTTCAAACATGGGAGGTGTAGAGAAAATGGCTTGAGAAAACATTGAGGTGGCGGCCTTTTGGATATTGGAGCTTGGAAACAAATATTTAAATGGTGGATGAAACAGTGAGCTGCAGTTGCCCTGTTTTTGGTTCTTTTTATTCAGATTTAATCCAAGCTCCGTGCCCGTTGGACTGTCACTTTGTTTGGATAGGCCTTTGTTGTGGAGTCTACACATGATATCAACTGTGAGTGGGCCAGAAAGAGAACTACAGTTACTTCTTAGGGGGGTGCAATTGATACAGCATGGATGACAAATAGAAATTTGAACAACTTGTACTTTCTCTTTTGTGTAATAGGAGGTTTTGTATGTTTGAATCACACATGATTCATTTGCTTTGCAAAAACAAGTGAGAATTTGGTGGTATGGTACGTGGATGAAGATTTCAGCTGATTTAGAAAACGGCAGTTAATTTTTTGTAGGGAAATTACAATATGGAAATATGGAAAATGTGTGAGATTTTGGCTGGATCAAATGAAAAATTACAAAAAAAATATTATTTTAGAAAATGAAATGTTCATCATACATGTACATGTATTGTTTGGAAAAATGTGAGAAATTTGTAATAAAGCACATTTAATTTTAAAAAGAACATATTTAACTATCTATAAATATGTTTATTGTTTATTCCATATTTGGTCATCCTTTTTGTTTCTCTGGATTTTTCTAGCAGAAAGCTATAAATACTACTTATCAAGCAATAACAAACAAAAAGAAGAAAAAAGCACACAAAAACGATGCTTCTTTTATAATTTACTGGATCAAAACGCAAAGCTTTTTCAATTTCCAAATATTCCAATTGCCTGTCAAATGAAAAGACACAGATCTTTTGATTTCACAGCTTTTAATGAATTCTGCCTCCTTGTTTTCCCTGTTATCATTTGTTTTTTAAACAAGTTAGACAGCTAATAATTGGATGGCATTGCATATTTAACTTGCCTTTTTTGTTCGTTTGCTTCGAGGCCACTTGCTTAATTGCTGCTGACATGCGAAGGGGGGGTCAGATGAAAGAAAAAAAACCCAAACCTACGCTCAGTTTATTGAAAGCTAAAAAAAACTCTCTGATTTAAAAAAAATCTAGAGAGGTTTACGAACGATGCCATGTGTCAGTTACTTGTTTATGAGGGGTGGAAATGTTCTTCCTATTGGAGAGTATTCTCAATTTTATGTGAGAAAAACAATTCAGCTAAGATATTTTGGTACAAGATATTTTGAAAAAAATTTCTAGAAAAGGAATTCGTGGGAATACAAAAATTCCTTCTTCAATTTTTTTTTTTTTTTTTTTTTTTTTGCAAATACTTGCCCCTATCTCTGTAATATATTTAAAAATAACATTGAATCCGTGTAATAAAAGACATAAAAGGCGTGTTAGAAATTGATCTTGAAAAACAAAATTAAGATTAACTTTCACTGTCAGGCTTCAAAATTGCTTGGTCCTGAATGACAACTTTAATTAGAGCCCAAAATAATTGCTTTTCGAAGAAAACGTGATTGCAATCAGCAAAATATACTTTCAGTCAAATACAGTAGGGTTGTTCCAAAATAATGTGGCACAAGGTCAACTTATTTAAGAGAAAATGTGAGGAATTTTTGGAAAGATGAAAAAGTCTGGAATGAAGGAAGACGTCATTTCCAGGGTTTTTCACAGGGTCAGTGCAAAGGGCAGGAGATTTTAATTGAGGATTGCTGCGTACCTCATTTAAAAAAACATCACATTTTAATCAAATTATAGGTCTTGTTAACATAGAACAAATGTTTGGAGACCTCGTAAATCACTTGACTTGAGAACGGAAAATTTTAGATTCTGCTGAAGGAGCGTTAATGGATACAAATCACTGGATGAACTATTTACAAGTATATTTCTTTTGCTTTCCAGTTTTGTACATAGTATGCAATTAAATCAGGCAACGGCTATTGAGGTCCTTGTCATTTTTGCTACTCCTTAAAAACAAACCCCGTGTAAAAGAATAAAATGTTCATAAACTAAGCTGCAAACACACTGTCAAGCTATTGAAAACTTGAGTTATGTCACATTTGAACCTCTCCTTTTTGGTCACAGTCGCATATTAACCTTGAATAGAACTTAAAAGCCAGCTCTCTTTTTGAAATGTCCACATCAGCATTGTTTACGCAACCCCGCTATAGGAACTGCAGCACATGTAAGGGAAAACATAACATGAATATGGTTCAAACAATCTTTTGAAAGCCAGCCTATTTAGGGCTTCAGTGTATTTGAATGGGGCGATATTAGTTTATTTCAAGCGTATTTATGCTGCAACGGTCTCACTTAAATAAAATTGGGGAGGGGGGTTGGAGTAGAAAATACAGTGGAATTGAAATTTTATTTGATGGTTGATTTTAGAATGTTTAGCGACTGAGAAAAAATTGGTTATTTTGTCATGTGCACTTATTCTCCAGACACGATATTATGATATATTACTGGACATACTCATAACTTTGAGCCTAGGGTTAGTCGATTTTTTGCACTTTGAGTTAAATATATCTTAACACACACATATCACATATTATTTTTAAAAATAATAAAATTAATGCCACACATGTGCCAACATTTTTATATCGGAAATGTTCAGCTTTGCTCTCGTCAGTTTTCTGAGGTATTACCTTTTATTGAGGCTAGTAGATTTTTACATCGTAATGCCATGGTATTTTAATTTATTTGCCTAGTTAAATTGTCTGGTTATTATCGCTGTATTATCTCTTCCATAATTTTTTGCCAAACGGCTAGCAGAATATTTCCCCATCTTGCAACTTTTGCCTGGTTTGCGCTGCTTCCAACCACCTCCCCCCTCCCCCCTCTCCCCACATCCTGTACCCACTCCCGAAATTTGAAACCCCCAGGGTCCAGGCCGTATGTTCACTCTCGTGTCCCTGGTTCTCCCCACCGGTCACTGCTGGTCATTGTGTCCACTGCGTTGGCCGTTTGTCCACTGTGAGCGAGGCTACACATATTTATTTATAAACAAACTGGTGAAACACACGGTCCAGGGCCTGGTAACACAACAACAGCAGGACAAAACATGGTTACTGGACGGAGTCTGCTTGAAAGACCCAAACAGGGCTGAATTGGAATATCACAATGGGCCAAGTCATGTATAATCAATGGCGCTGGGAGTATGCCGCGTAGGGCTGTATGCAAACGAAGGGATATTTACAAAGCCATTGGAGCGACACAATAAGACCTCAAAGAAGGAGTTCAAAGCTACCGTTACCCAGCCCTGTCAATACACCTTCGATTTTCCCCAGTCGTGCTGGTCCATTTGCTTTGTAGTACATAGTCGCTTACTAATTGACTTCATTGGGTAAAGAAAGCACTACTAGCAGTGGGACTGATTGTTTTTTATTCGTGGCTGACATCGGGATGATTTGCGAGTATTAAAACAAGGTAAGAGAGATTAATTTAACGCATTGAGCATCTTTTTTAAAGGGACGCTGTATGTTATGTGTAGGCCCCTATAGGAGACGTGGACCTTGCGGACTTGTTGCATAGAAGTACCTACAGTTAGCGGTGTGTATGTAAAGCAACGGCAGAGCCAGCCTGGGAGGTAGAGTAACACTACGTCTGGACATGGGGGCCGATAGGGTCCAATACTTCACCCCAGGCTACTAATACTACCCAATACAATCTAGACTGAAAGTTAATGCCCAATCGACACGTTAATTGTCAGGATTGCATGGGACTTCTTAAAGTGTTACCACTGTGACATTTAGATGGAAGTGCTTGAAAGCATAGTTTTATTAAGGTAATTCATTAGCTAGCGACATAATTAGGAGGTGGCAGTCGATGTATATGGTAAAACTGAACTGCATGCTGTCACTGGTAGTAAGACAGATACAAAAACAATGGTTAATCGGTCGGCAGGAATGCAGGTACTACTCAAGTCTTATTGACAAACTTCTTGTATCAGGCCCGTAGCCAGGGGGTTCGAAAGAACCCCCTTTTTTGCCGGGAAACGGTCCCTCTGAATAAAATTTCATCTAGGTACACGAAGGTTTCATAGTAACATTTCCACGTTTTCAGAAATAGAACCCCCCTTTTGAAATTGCTGGCTACGGGCCTGTGTATACTGGTCAGTCTTATTTCAACTATGACACTCATTAGATACACAGGGTCTCTGGGGTGTGTCTCTTTCCACTGTTTTGCTACAGTAAAGACTCCGTAATCTGGCTAACCCTCATTATCTGAGTAAGATAAGGATAGGAAGACTTAACCTGGCTCACACAGGTTTGTTACTTTTGTTTGGAAATAAGGAGTGAACAGTCTGACAAGGAGATATGTTGCTCCCTCCCCCCCTTGCCAACCCTCCCACCGGCCCTTATACCCATCCCATGGCTCACGTACTGACCATGTCCTAGGTAGAGCCTCATTTAATGATTTCTAGGTACGTTAATGATTTGATATGCACAGTGGTCGGGATTGATTTTCTATGGAGGCTGCTCCCTGTCCCCTGTTTCATAAGATGGGCTAGGTGAGTGTGGGATGAGGAGAAATCTTCTGTTTGTTAACTGAAATATTGTGTGGGCTTGGTAAATCATATTGAGAGACATAGTGCAATGCATTAATATTAGATAGGCCCTACTTCATTAATAAAGAAAGTTTAATAAAAGAATAATGCTGTGTTTAGTAATGATTGGAATTATTTTTTTCGATACAAATGAGACAATGATGTGGAAAATATCTTAGTATTTCTCTTGTGTAGTTAATATTTGAAACAATTTCCTTTTGCCTACTGGTATTTTTCTGGTGTTCAAAACATGAAAGACCTAATGAACTCAAACAATTTCAATAGCCCTGAATTTTACGTCATTGTTTTAGTTGTGATTACTTAACTGGCCCCATTTGTTCCGTATCAAAGTTTGTGCTTGGCTTCCATTGAAGAGATCACCTTTAGAAAAGAACACAAACATAGTAAAATTATTTTCTCAATGATTTTAGACTAAATTGCGATCATAATGTAACTACTTAGATTCTGTTACTCAATATTTAGTAGATTTGCCAGTGGTAATAAATATGCCTGTAACAAACTGTCCTGATTACGACTAAGCTGTCTTACGGCTGTTTTGATTGGCCGATTAGTCGTCACAGAGATTATGCCATATCTGTCCTGCACACAGATTGGTCAGGTCTGGCAATGGCTGGTCAATCCTCGTGCCCTAAAGTCAGGATGAGGCTTAATATTGTAACAAAGCAATAGTCAAGGCTCCTGTAATGCCATAAGAATTTGAAAGATGGATTTGATATTAGGCTTGTTTGTATCTATCCATTTAGTGGATTTCCTTTCCACTGTAATAATTAGGGCTCTGGATCTGAGTAAGGTCAATGCACTTTCAGGTGATATATATATATATATATATTTGATCAGGATTTGGTTAGAACATGTCTTAATTTCTTACAGAAGCAGGGATGCAATATTGATAATATAACAGTTTTTTCTCGGTGCCATTCTCATCCTAAAATCAAAAGCGAAATTTAAAAATTGGTGCAGGAAAGAAAAAAATGTTTCTGGCATAAAGTGTCAAACGTATGTTCAGTTGGACATTAAGGGAAATGCCCTGGACATTGAATGACCAGTCCAATTTATTAGCTTATATAACCATTCTTTTTAACAGTTCTTAGGGATTGTGTTCACCATTGCTCTCTATAGATGAGTCCAGGATTGTTTACAGTGAAAATTGATTGTGGCATTACCCAAGCTGTTTGTACCATAATCTCCATTCTTGCTAAATAGAACTGTTTGATTGGAAAGTGTTACAGCCAAATACAAAATATTATGGCAACAATGAACGTGTTTTGAGGGATTTAGAGTACGGTACTTTTCAGTGCAGATCTTTGTGTGCAAACTACAAATCTTGGCAACTCATTTATTGCTTGACATTGCTCCATCCCAACGTGTTATTTTAATGACGGTTTTTAAGAAGGTACTTGGTGTTAATCGGTTGGATGTGATTGCTAACATTTTGGACACTTAGTTTGCACGAAACATATGATGTAAAATAATAAGATTTAAAGTTAGTCGACATATATTTAGTCAAATGAAGCAACAATAAGGAATAAAGAATTTGATTAGAATCTAAATATTGAAACAAAAGTAAACAGGATTGGTCTAAAGTGCACTACTTTTTTCGGCTTTATTTTCTTTTTTAATCTTTTTTTGTAAATATTTTTAAGCATAGTGAGAAATAAAGGAATGTCAATAAAGGTAAAGTGCATTTTCAAAAACGTAGCATTACAGGGAGCAAAATGTCCTATTAAAATTAAATTCAAATGACCAATGTGGGACCAATGTAATGGGAATAACTTCAGGTATAGTGTGTTGTATTTTTGTAATATTGTTGAATGATAATTTAACTGTTGTCTTTCTGCTTTCAAATCGTCAGCAGACAGTTTAGATTTAATTACAAAGCAGGGGGGCCAAATATCAAACCAGTGAAAGAAGACAGTGTATTATTTTTTGTGCCCAATTTGAAGTCTGAATCATGTGTCGTCTTTGGGCCACAAAAGTAGTTGCGTAAGCTTGTCCAAACACTGCCACCTGATCGCAGACTCGGAGAGAGACGTGAACAACAACTCTGCTATAGTTAGTGTATTTCAAGTTTGGTTATTTATCTAACATTGCCAACTTTTGCACAGGGTAACCTGTTACCTAGTGCTTTACTGTTCTGCCAAAGACGCTGCATCAGCAGCCCGCGTAAGACGTGTTTTGACAAAAAATACTTCCCTGGGGAGTGAAAGGCCTAGCAAGCGTGCCATAGAAACACAGTGGGAAGGCGGTCAATGGGCCAATAATGGAGGAAGGGTCCCTTATTTGATAAATAAATAACGCAGGTAAATCACTGTCTTTTCATATTCAGCAGCTGCTGTTATGCCTCCAAATACAAGAGAGTTCCTTTTAATTGGTGAACTAACCCCACACCTGAGGGTAGCCGATTTGGGGGGAGGAGGAAGATAATTATCTGATTAAGATCTTTATTGATTGTTATCAGATTTTAATTTGTTTGTTGGTGGTTTGTTTTTTCTGTGAAAGTCAGGCTGTGCAAAGCTGATTTAGAATGGCTAAATCGTGTACATATTTGTTTGATTTTGAATGTAAAACAGTTATAAAAAGTTAGAAAAATGTACATAAATTATAATATAATATTGCTTTTAAATATGGCATTTTTTACCATTTCCAATTAATGTCCTTTGTTTAGGAATGTTTAGATGAAAAAGTGTGTTTTGACATATGTATTGCCAATAACATAAAACTAAAATTGTAAGACTAGAAAAATGAATTTATCCAGGGATAAATTTTGTAATTAATAGATACAGCAATCTCAGTATTTAAACGTCTTTTCTTTATCATTCAAATTGAATTATTATATCTTTTAAGTAATATCTCATTATCCTCAACGTAATTGATAAAATCAGGTAGCTTACATGGCGTCTTATTCCCGTCCCCACTCCCTCAGACCACGAGACGCAAACACAACCGTTATTTACCTAGTAAACTTTGTTCTTGCTATTTTGATAATATATTCATGGCAGGTAATGTTAGTCATATGGTCTGAACTTTCCTCTAGTGTCTACCGTTATGACTTTGACATGGCTGACCTAGGTGAAATAGGCTGATAGTACGTGTTAATCACTTCGCAGCATGTCCAATTAAACCAGCTAATACAGGTGTGCGACTTTTTACTGAAGATTTTACCGTTAAGTGGATTACATTATATTACAGTTGAAAGAACTTGGATTTTTTTGCAGACGTTTCAAGGTAGGTTGATGGTGTTGGTGATGGGATGATAAGTCTACGATCAGCTTCTATACACTAAGCAGTTTAAAAGGACCAAATTCATATTAATACTTGGTAATGAAGGTTCGTACTTTATTATTATTATTACTTAAGTTAAATGGGATTGCTGATGAAGTGGGATATCTAAGACTTCATTATGTCAGTTTGTTTGTGCATGTAATTTTGAAGCTAAAATAGGACTGAAGATTTGACCAAACGAAGTTGGTTGATGAGATTCTGACTGTTCTTCTGCATGTGTTGTAACATTGCACTCCAAGTATGTACATAGATGTCTGGGTGGGTTTCAGCAGTAGTTTGCAAAGATTTAACTATATATGTGATTATTTTAATAAGTAAGATGGGGTACATGTGCACATTTACAGTTACAAATGTATATGCTTTCTGAGATCAGCGTGGTTTACAAATGAATGATTTTAGATACTTTTAAGGATTTCCTGCATTTACTCTTGATAAATTAGCCATTATAGGTGGGGTTGAATTGGATAAACAGTTCACCAAATTCTTATGATAAACAATGTAAGGAGTTACTAATTGTGATGCTGCAACACTCTTCTAATCAATGTGTTTTCATATATAAGCCTTCTTACCAAGTGCTTTCAATTACATTTGATTATCTAAAAATACAGGAGTTCAGCAAACAACAGCATGCTTGATTACAGACATTAGTTTCCTTGAAAACATGGAGTATGGAGTGACGTTTAGGTTATAAAAATAATATGAATGAATATTAACGGAGTAAGCCAGGAAATGAAGCCTGTGTAAAATCTATACAGTCTACAGTGGCCACAATAGAACATGTTGCTGGGATTTCAACAGTGATCACAAGCACCTGATTTATAATAACTAAATGAAGCCTTGATGTAGCTGTCTCACAATGGTGGAGTATCGATGCACATTCAACACCAAGCTGCCATTTTCCTAAGTCTGCTTAAGTGCATTATTGAAGAGACTTTTAGAAAACTTGCAGTTGATATTCAATTTTGTATTCAAGAGTGATGTAGGAGAAAATTGCTCCTTTGATTCCGCACTGCACTTGGCTGGCTGCAATACTAGAAGTTTTGATTGAATTGCACAGAACAGAACAATGCACCTGGCCGTGTGTTGACAAACTCTAAACGACCTTCTATTATGAATGCATTCACCAGTTGAACGTAACCGCCATGTTTGATTTCACTCATGCTTTTGTTTTGTTGAGTTTTGTTTCTCATTGGAAGCGGTCCTAAAGTTGCTTGCAATTACGTACCTTTGTACAGGATTATTTCGGTGAAGCGATGCATTCGGGGCTTTCGCACTGGGGTCACCAGGGCTTACTATTATATTTTATTTTAAAGGCTGTTTTCAAAATAAAGTTGCTGTTAGGGCTTTGGGGTAACCAGTCTGAATAGCTAGTGTTTGGTATTGTTTTACAGTAAACTTTAATAATCCACAACAGGTGTTGTTCACATTGCACAAAAAGCAAAACATGTGGTATAAAAATGACAAAAGGCAGGTAAAAGGTTTTTCAAATTTGTAAGTCTAAAAGATCCTGGTGGTGAAATTTGAGCTTTTTAAAAAGCAGTTGAATTGGTGTCTGCTGCCCCCTTTTTGGTGGAGTGTAAAGTCGATATTTTGAAAACTACAGGTTTTAATTTAGTTTTTACCACATACTGAACATAGGGTTACAATATTGTCTGAAGAAAAAAACATGTGCCTTTTCAATAAACTTTGAAGAGATCTTTATCTTAATTTTGATATTGTTGACGTAGGATTGGCACTTAGGATTAAATTGTACGATATTGATAAACAGCTATACCCAAGTTAATTTGTATGTCATATCATCAAATTGAGAAATAAAAAAAATCTCTCCAGAAAATTACGACCATTTTCCAGAAAATCCGGGTGGCCTTCATTAGAAGGGTCAGTTTTCAATCATCCGTTTAAAGTTTAAATTAAATTATTCATTTCTGTTTATGAATATATACCCCTTAATCCTTAGGCAAATTCTGTCAAAAAAAGTCTTTAAATGTATTTTAGAATTTAGAACTTTGAAACTCAATATAATGATAGAGAACTACAGGACAAAAAACCTTGTACGAGGGCTCTTAAAAACTACCTAAAAATTTCATTAGTACTTCCAAAATTTTCAGGCGCCAGCTTTAAACCCAAAATGAGTGCTCCAGTCTGCTGTGTGTAAACCCTCCTCTTGTGCCCCAGGTTTCAGTTCTGGTGCTCCAGTCTGCTCTGTGTAAACTGTCCTATTGTACCACAATGTGGATGTACAGTTCTCCATTACATCCAGTGTCTGCATTAGGAGAGAGCACCTTCAACACACCTGTGGGGAGTGGGTCAATATTTTCACGGGATATTTAGTTAACACGGCCATCAAACATACATGAGGTTTAGGGACAGGAGTCAGGAAATATTGACTCACATATAATGGTTGAGTGAGGCTTTGGCTTAGAGGACTTAAACTGATTTCGGGAAAATGAATTACTGGTACAGTAGAATTAGAAGTGAATTGCAGTGAAATGAAAATTAAAAGAAGCTGACATTAAAGAGTGCTTTTTTGTGGATGATTGGTTTGTGCAGTTACTTTATAAATGGTGAAAAATTGATTAAAAGTTTGGTTTAATTTTTTCTGAGCATTTACAGTCTTTTACAAAATAAAAGTTCAGGGTAAATTTTTCCATTTTAGAACTTAGGATTTACAGTTTAGAGGATAATTACTAGAATTCATTTTTGCAATGTTTTCTATCTTATCCTCATTTTAAAATGGTCTAAGATATTCCATCACGTCAATAGAGAAGTTATATTGTTAGTCTAAGTGCATTTATCATGTATTATCTGTAATGGAGTACATTGTAATCATTTCTGGTAATTTTTTTTCACGCTAACAGGAAAAAATCTTGTGTAAATATACATAAATGTATCATAGGATATCAAATATTCATCATTGAATGGATGTATCGATTTAGAAAACTTGCATGATGGATATTTTGTTTGATGAAGTTCATTTTCATTTCCTGTGTCAGTAGGAGAATATCCTAATTTGTCAGCATCAGAGCTTTAAAGTCATTGTCATTTCTTCGCTAACATGAGATGTGTTCTCTTCAAGACAAGCTTAGACCCTAAGTCGTTTCGATGTTTTTTCCCGTTAACTTGATTTTCAAAGACTGGTGCAGTAGGGCTTCCTCTTGTATTATTCTAATCTTGTAATGTACTCGTAAATTATAAGTCTGTTTTTTAGTTGACATTACTTCTGCAATGAATGGCAAACACATAACTGTTGGGTACTGACACATGAAAGATAATTATTTTCGAACTCATTTTTTTAGCTTTGGATTCTCTTGCGTCACTTCAGACTTTGGTAGGTCAACAGAAGTTATAGGGGTCCTACTTGTACTAGTTCTGGAGAAAGGGAACAGAGTGATCTAATATTTGCCATGAAATATAAGACCTGGATTTATTGATTTGTGAAATAAAAGGGAATAATGGGTGGACATGTTATGCTACACCATTTTTCAGCTAAGTAGGATTGACAGTCAGAAGTGGATATTGTTTAGCTGGCTCAGACGATGTTGAAAACTGCCTGAGATATCAAATATTTCAAGTTTGTGTCTGGATAACTGTTCTTTTACTCTCTCTTATTGAATAAGTGGGGCTTATTTCTGCATGATTTCTTTGGTGAAGAGAAGGAGACTGTACTCTCTGTCTCTCTCTCTCATACACACACACTCTTCTCCCCTATTTTCTCTCTCATAGACACACATTCTCTCTCTCTCTCACAATCTTTTTGATGTTAAGTTCAGGAAACCTGGCGTAATACCTTGTATGTACCCAGTGCTTTACTGTTGTTTGCATGCTGTTTAAAACCGTCTCAAATTGCTCCAACAAGATCACAATCCAAATTTAGTCTCATAAATCCTTACTGTTAGCCAACAGTGCTTGCAAATGCCTTTCAAATCAAACCAAATCAGTGAGTGATAAAACCTTTTTTGAAATTTAAATCAGGCAAAAAATTCAGATATTCTTGTACTTATGAATGTTCAGTATGTACTAGGAAAATCAGGAGCGGATTTAGGCCGTCTTCTGGGTCTTCCGGAAGACGGTCAGATTTTCAAGTTTACATTGAAAGGTGTCTGATTTTTCCGTCGGAAGACGGTCAAAAGTGAAGAATGGATCAACAAAGATAATTTGGACGACTGTCAGAAAATATCTCTGAATCCCCCCTGAAAATACCCCTCAAAATTTTTATAATCAGTTTTCATTTACCCTGGCCACATTATGCAGGTGGCTTATCCTCAGCCTCAGTTTCAGAGATTAAAACAACCCTTCCCTCTCAGAATACAATGTACCTCTTCTGTTTCCGCTTGCTGATTGTGAAAGTTATTTCTATTACTCTTATGAATTCAAGGTAATCCATTTGATATTTCTAAATAAGTAACCTATGTGAACATACGGTGCCCCAACATCTCTGGAGTTTTTTTTTTTTTTTTTTTTTTTGTGAGTGGTCAGTCCTTATCGGATGTGACCACATCATTAAATCACCAATTGCAAGCTATTTCAGTTTATCTTAAACAGTTGGTCATCAGCTTACATTTGTAGTGCTAACACTGTGACCTCTCCCCTTTAAACATTACGTAATTTTAGCAGGTGTTAAATACAAACGGTTCTATCTTATCTGTAAACAGTAGCTTGGGCAGCAAAGTGCAATACAGATGCTTTTGGTGCTGTCTTAGAACTTGTATAGTTTGTGATCTGTTATTCATGAAAGAGGGGATTGTTAACAGTAAGTATAAGTGGCTCACTGCAGGTAAAAAAAAAACAAACTTTGATTGTTTCAGTTCTGTATATCTATTGATATTAGTATGATATTACAGTATATATGGTGCACATGAAATGAATTTTATTTTATCGATATATTTCTAATATTGGTATGCTGATAAAAGACAAAAAAAAAAAAAAGAATGTGAAAAAATGTGCATTCCAATGCAATCGGTTCATAAAACATTGCAGTAAAGTATGTCTCTATTTGTCTACCTTTCACCAGTTCTTTCATTTCAGTCAGTCACATAACCATTAATAACAGTAAAAAGTGATAGGTAACAGAAATTCTCATCTTATTGATAAAGATTTAATTATGTTCAATGGCATAGTTCCATTTACCAGTATCAACAAAATCTTGACCTGCCTTATCTCAAGTTGAGACCCATGTTTGAGTTGACCAAGTTTAACGAGTTTTACGAACAAACACGCACCTGACCCTATACACTGTACAGCTTAGGAAGACATCAACATATGTAGGCACTGAGGATGTTTAGTTGTAGAGTTTGGATTAGAATACTTCAGGATGTGAGTTTGGTGACACGAGTGAACACAATTTATTCAACAACTGATTTTTGCAAAGAAAGGCGAGCACAGTTTAAACTTCTAAATGTATTAATTGGGTAGTGTACATCAACTTGGTTTTCTTATAAATCTGCTGTTTGGTTGGATTGTTTTGTGAGAACAATCTTAATCATTTAAAGTCTATTTTTTGTATAAGTATCTTCTAATAGCAATATTTGAGTAGAAGCATTTCATTCAATCTTTTTTTAAAATTATTTTTAGGTGTGTGGCTACAGAGTGGATATAGATCTATTACATACCTGGTAAGTTGTTTGTAACATTTATCTCTGAGTTTGAATGGTTAAAAAATTAGAAACCCTCATGAAATTTGTTAGCAGGATAATTTAAGAATTTGTAGGTTTATAGAGGGTGGAAATAGGAAATTTGTGTGTGGAAATCCTCAGATTAAGTTTTAAACATTCACAATGAACTTCAATTCAGAATAAACCTCTAGTCATTTAAAACATGAATTGGTTTAAATCAATAGCCAGCACAATCCTTATATGAAACTGGTACAATTACTACATTTACTATTGATCATTTCTAAAATAATCGATAAAGATAATATTTGATAATGAATAACATGAAATAAAATGAATAGATAAACAAAGTGAATAAACAAATCAAGATAATTTTTTTCATGAAGAAGAAAAGAGCCTAATATATATGACATGGGTAGTGACTGATGAATGTGGAAACATTAGGATATGTTACAAAAAAAAGGCTAATTCAAGTTTACCCTTTGTCTGGGCATAAAATTGTATTATTAAACACCCTTCTGATTTTGTAATGTAATTGTATTAAGTAAAAGTAAATCTAAAAAAAAAAAACTTCTAATTTTAAATATCTCATATTTAAGACAGGAATGTCATGCAGAGGAAGAGCTTCCTGTAAAAAAGTGGAGATTCGCCCTGCTAAACGGAACTTAGTTTGCAATATTTAGCCCCTGATTTTCATTGTTTTGCAGGAATAGGCTTGGTCCAGGCCACTTGTAGACTGAGGCATGCCTAATTACTGCACTTTTATTTCCTCTGGTTTGTTTAAGAAAACAATCTCTTTTTGTTTCTTAATTGCTGGCTGGGACACAGCACATTCTTTGTCTTTTTAAGTTATCATGTTGACAAAATGGAGTGACGTTTTTCAAATCTAAAGGACCATTATCAACTATGTTCACATAATCCTTTTTCTTGACTTTTATTTACATGTAAAAGCATGTGTATAAGACATCACTGTTCACACATAAAAGATGTATTTAGAAGCGAGAATGTAGAAGAACTGAAACCTTTTTTAACAACCTTTTGTATATATCGGTGGCTCTGTGGAATATTTTGAAGTCATTCAAAGTTTAATTTAGGTAAAGTGTCATTAAAAAGAAAATTTAGAACTCCCAAAAGAGCTGAAATTTATTCTCTCTAGGGTGTACTTTGGTAAGAACTTGAAACTAATTGAATTTTGTTTGGATTCTAAAGGTGAAATTACGTGAAAACAAAACTCGTTACTGTAGTATATTTGGTCGAGTTTGAAATGGTTAGTGAAAAATATCATGGTGTACCTTAAAAAGAATGATGATAGATAAGAAGTTTGCAGGAAAAAAGAAGCTTCTCTCACAAAGGAAATTTGTTTGTCTTTTCTTTAAACAGAAAAGAAATAAAGGGTCTATTGAATAGGAACATGATATTCTTGGTTATTTTTCATTGCTAAATGTTTGAATTGGTGGAAAAAAAGTTGCCAATATTTTCTCTGTAAAGCTGAAAACTTAGCACAATTTTTTTCCCTTTTAAAAGCATCTTGTTTAGCCAAAATTCACCAAACTGAGACGGATCAATTTTTCACCAGAGCCGCCATGTTTATCCCTGGTTATATTTCATTACCTGTCAAAACATGGCACTATACAGTATCTTCTCTAAAACCTTGAGGATGTAAACAAGTATTTTAAAAGCACCTTGTTTAACCCTAACTTACTAAAGTGAGACCAATGATTTCCATGTGGGGTAAATAGTTTGAGAGTGAAAGAACATGGCAGCCTACATGCTTTCTGACTAGAGGATTGGATCTTTCATCAGTGGTGTAAAAGTAGCCAGACTGTTAGCTTGGGTGGTGGGTAAAACACAGCATTGGTTACAGGGCAGAGGAAGCTGTGCATGGAAGCTGTGCAGGAGGTTTGGAACACGGGGTCAGACGACTGCTATTTCAAAGGGGTGGGTTTCTTTCTTTCTTTTCTTTTTTTTTTTGAAAAAAAAAAGGAGTTCTTGTGCAAAATATTGGCGTTCTTAGAACTCAGATCATTTTTTCATTCAGAGTAAATTTTTTTTCTGACCAAAAAGGATGGTTTGTTTGAACACATATATATCCCTTCACAGAATGCCCCTCTCCAAGCTTGGACGCCATAGTGGAAAAATTACTTTACTGCTTGTTTTAAGGGAACTCTAGAGATAATTTCGTTATTGTTAAAAGGTTTCAAATGAAGATCACCAAAATGCAATACTGCAATGCTTTTCCAACTGAACAAAATTGTCTTATTGCAAAATTAATTTGTGATGTTTTTAAATTAAATAAAGAGGTCTTAAATAAAAGGAAAACACAACTACTTCTTAGAGATATCCTAAAATGCCAAATGGTCAAGAGAGTGAACCAGAGGACATTGTGACACAGAGGTACAATTTACAACTGTTCAACAATTCTCACATTGTTCCCTAAAAATCTACAAATATTGGTTTAAGTTCTAATAAAACGCATGTTAAAATGTCGTGGAAAGGCTGCTGAAAGGAGGGGTTGAAGTTGTGTATTTTTTAGATCCCCAGACAGTGAAGGGGTTTAATTTAGAAAGTAATTCAATATAACTGGCTCCACAAAGAGGATCTAGTTATGTTTATTTGGAAAATCCATACTTGAAGGAGAAAGGTACTTGTTATGGAAAAGAGAAGGGGGGGGGGGGCACACAAAAATCTTTGCACAATGTAAATGGATCAATTTACAAGCTAGGCACCTGCCCTCAGTGATGTTAAAACAACAAAAAATTCACTGAATGACAAAAGTCAATATGTGATTGCATGCAGAAGAAATACGTTTTTTTTAGTGGTTAACACTGCTAGACATAACTTCACTGCATGAACCCTCCAAAGTTAAAACTACCAATAATGGTAATTCACATTCTGCCAAATTAGAGCACGAAGGACATTGAAAGTGTACACTGTCTACACTATAATATGGTGTAAAATTTATCTAAGAAAAAACTGCCATTTTTGTGTTAGTTGGGGCATTGAAAAGTTTTTTTGTCCGTAATTAGATATAGTTAACCAGTAATGTATATGTACTGTATACATATGGAAAAAAGAATTAGAACAACAGTACAGCGCCCCTCCCCCCAGCCTCTGCCCTCCATCCCCAACCCCCCCCCCCGACCCTGTATCTCCCCCCCCCCCCTCACAGCTATGCAGGTAATGTACAGAGTAACATAACAGAGATAACATTAATGAAGTTGTCAAATTTCTAAAAGACTACAAAGGATTCCTGCTGGTCAGTTCATATTCTGGTGGTCACAGCAGCTGACCAGGGATGTCCAGTTGTGTCCAGATGATTGACCACAACACTCTCTGAACATTGTAGACCACGTGGAATTGATATCAACTTGAAAAGCAAAGCTATCTCAGAAAGCCGTGGTATTTTTTCCCTTCCATTTGAAGTTCATAGCCTTTGACCATTCACACTTTTTCTTCGCTCTGAATGTAATTGGTTGGATGGACAAAGGTGTGAAGTGAGAAGAGCATTAGTTTAAGTATTAATTCCATAAAAGAGGAATTAAGCCCTGGAAGTTTGGGTACAGAATTTTTTTAGATGTAAGAAAAAAAGAATGGATTGAGAAAGACTCACAGACTAAAAAAAAAAAAAATCAATTAAAATGTTTAGCAGGTGCAATTGAATTACTAATTTGAGGTAAAATATAAAATTAAATTGTACAATAAGTATTTCTAAATAATAAATTTTTCACGTGTTCAGAAAAGTGCACATAAATATGCACTCAGTTGCATTCACACATGCAGTTTACCATATGTAGATACTGGAAGATGATAGTCTTAATATAGATTTAATTTTTGGCATGATTTTATTCCGAAGAAGATCTAACCCTGACAGCTGAATGCCCCATCTTAATTAAACCCACATTTCTCAAAGGTGAAAATTCTAGCACCTTTCTTTAATCTTGATTTGTAAGACCTGCTTGAAGACATTATTTTGTATGATGAATAAATTTGAGTCTAGTGTATGCTGCTTTTATGGACGCAGTAAAAGGTTTTCTCAAGAAAAAAAAGGCAAATAATATAAGAGAAATGTGGTCATTAACTTGTATACGAAAATGAAAAACAAAAATGTAGAAAGTGAAAATAGAACTAAATCTTACTTCCGTGATTTGGGGGACAGAGGCTTATGTTTGTATACTGATGAGTATGACTTTCATGATTTGAAAAGATTTTATTTCCTTCTCGGTTAAAGATAAGAGAAGTTATCTTGGAAGTTTAAATTCTGCTTGTTCAATATTTTTTAGTACTATAATCCGACTCACAAATAAAAAAAAAGTTTCAGCAGGAGAAGTCATACATGTAAACTTTTTTTTGAAAAAAAAATTCTTAACTGCACATTTCAGAGTTTTATGGCAATAAGCTTTCCAAATTAAATCAGCCTGACACCTGTACCCCCTTCTATAGCAATGCACTAGTCCAGGAACACCCCAACTAAAAATCACTTGCTGAAATTCTGATTGATCTTCGCAGTCAGCGGCTGGGGACAGACCAGGGACGGCTATTGAGAAGGTGTTTTGATCAGGCGTTCTGGACCCATGGTTTATCCATTAACATGGCAGCAATTTAGAGACACTATCATGTGGAAAGTTTGCTTTTAAATCAGCTGCCTCAGTCAAAAGTTTCAGAGTGCAGAAAAATTGGTGGAAAAATTGAAATTAATTGGGCAGCCCAAAGTGTGCAGTTAGTTGTGAAAATTGCCAATGATGATAAATAGCTTGGGGAGGGTTTTGATTAGTCTGGTCAAAGATGAGTTGATGAAGTATGGGGTCTGGGCTGGCGAAATGAAGCCCTGTCTTAAATAGGACCAAAACTGGGAAGGGATTCAATTTAAGCAAGTGTTAAGAATTAGCACTGAACCGTACTATTTGGTGTACAAGTCTGGTATCTGTGTGCAGGAGGAGGCAGTTTTGCCAGCAATTTTGCCGACTGCTGTTGGTTCTGGTACAAATGCACTGGTTCTGAAGTTACATATCTTATTGTTTCAGAATCATTCAGGAGTCACCATCATTGGTCATCCCAGCTGGCAGTCAGATTGTGTCCAGTATTGGTGAGTTGTCACTACTGTTTTTACTACTGTTACTGACGCTGTCTGTTGTACATGCTCATTGAAATTGCCTTCTGTTGATGTGGATCCTAGTTTTAAGAATTCCAAGAAGTTTCAACAGAATTTGAAAAACAATATTGAATTAGGAAGATCAGCAACCTAATAGAATAGATCAGCAACCTAATAGAAAAATAGAATGCAAAAGGTCAGCAAAGTATAAAATCCAGAAAAATAGAAAATACAGGTTTAGAAGTGAGGATATTTCAGGTAAAAAAAATCAGTAAGACCATAATCATTAGGGCACACTGTAGGTTATTGTATATAATACATTTTATTACTTGCATTAGCTGAAGAGTACTAAGTAAAGTCGCATGGGAAAGAGGAAGAGGAAAAAGTGACTAAATCCCAGGATTATTAAGATGGATTATTACAGCTTTACTCTTAAGATGCCTGTACAGGGTAGTACCTGAGTGTATCCTCCCACCATGAAAAAATCACCCTAAATCCTGGTAAATCTATGGAAGATGGCATCTACTGTTTTTTCATCCTTCATCCTTCTTCTGTAAGTAGCTTAACTGAAAGCAAAATTCTCTCACATTAAAAAAATTCTTTTGTACATTTAGATATTTTAGAATTGGAGAGACATATTGGAGGGCAGTTAATTAAGTAGGGGAAGAGTTTGCAAGTAAAAATATGTATGTAGTTTTAGTTTCTGTCAAAGGAAAGGAGAAAAGGAAGCTTGGGTGGTTTTTACTGTGTGCCAAAATGAATCAAATTAATGAAACTGGAATAGTAAAAATTGTGTAAGGTAGTGTTTTTGTGTTAAAAAAAAAAGAAATGGTTCACAAATAATGAAAAGATGATTGGATATTCTACTAATTATGCCTAACAGATTTTTGTATCAGAAATGATAAACAAGTTTGAAAGTTCAAGGTATTTTTTTCCAAACATGTGTTTCTACTGAAGGTAATTGCTCCTGGGCTTTAGATTCTGTATGAGGAAATTAAAACAAATTTTCCAGTCTGATGGCTTAGGACACAGTATGGAGTGAATCTGGAAGAATTCAGTGTTTATTGATAGACCATGCTTGGAACTGATTTGTGGTGGTGGATGGAGTGTGTGTGTGTGTGTGTGTGGGGGGGGGGGGGGGATAGGGGGGAGAGCAGACTATCTGCAAAACCATGTGTACAGACAATAGGAATCTGATATTGAATATGAAAAAGTGTTGACATTTTTTTGGTTTAAATAACTGAAAGAATTTGTGTTGTCTGTGGATGCAGTGAGACTGATGAAAGTTTATCTTGAATTCCAACACATTGCACATGGCAGTGAAATACAAGAGGAGGCACTATTTGGGCTATATCTTAAATGACGTGAAACAGTTTGGAAAAATGTCAATTTTATTTTTACCAATTTTTTTTCTCATTCCTTTTTTACCATTGTTTCTCTGATCTTTTTAAGAAAAACAATAATTTGTCATGTAAAATATTTTTTAGCCAGTTAGCATTTTGACATATTAAATATATTTTGCTAAGCCAAAGTTTAATTTGAAATAGTGAAAACGTAGCAGAGTATATAAAAATGGTAGTGGAGTTGGGTAACTGGTAGTGAAAGAACCTGGACCTAAGCTCAGGAACCTCTCTGATGTTTTTAGATAGGAAAAGAAAGATATTAGAAGACCCTGATGTTTGCATTCCTGTGTTAAGTCTTTATTTTCATGTCAGTGGGTCTCCCTTTAGCGCTGAGAGTTCAAGTTAGAGCAGGTACATAGTTAAATCATTTCTCTGACCTCACTTGTAGCCAACACAGGACTTCTGTTTTTAATGTATTCACTTTCAGTAATAGTATTTAATTAACAAATTTGTAGTCAAGAGGTACTGGGTTGTACTTTCTTGTGGTAGGTACTAGTAGGTCATTTTAGTGTGACAACAGAGAAATTTTTAGATGCTAGTTACAAATAATGACACTTTCTCAACACAGATTTAACTGTTGTTGAAACAAAAAACAGCACATGGTAGATTTTAGTGGATACAATGAATGTAGATATAATCTAATAACCTTTATTACTGCAATTGATATAAATAGATAAGATAACATCACAAATGATATGAAGTAGATGAAATGTTTGTCAACAGAATGAGTAGATGAGGTAGTATAAGCATACATGTTAATAAAGTCGTCTTATAAAGCAAACAGATCTCCCCTGCTCTATCTCAGGACTTGGGTTTTACCAACAGAAATCTCAGGAGCTGATCCCAACAGGACATTACTGATTATTGCATCACAATTAGGAGGCGATTAAGCTGTTTGATTGACACCACCATTGTTGATTAAATGAAGTCAAATGCCTGAGGATGATTAAGCCCAGTGCTGCATGCAAAGGTTCTGAAACAAACCTGGTGTGCTGTGTTTAGATCTTAATAAGATAAAATAAGAAATTGAAGGACATCTAAGATTTTTCACTCAAAATGCACAATCCATTCCTGTAACTATTAGAGATAATAAGATTTCGCCCTGTGTTTAGTCAGAAGTGTCTAAATACACCCAACCTTGGAACGAGCTTAGAGGTTGATCCAGTTATTCTGTGTGAACACTCCTAATTTTGACTGGCCATTTCTCTGGGAACTCCTCTCTGGAAATTACTGCAGGTTACATCACATTGGTAGCTGCTGAGATAATCCAGTTTTGATTGACACCTTAGTTGAAGATAATTAAATCAGCTCTGGTGGATTAAGAGAGGTCATGTGGTCTGTGGGGTTCTAGGTGCAGACTGGATTCTGGAAGGAAATATTACTGAGAATACATTTGTTGGTATTTGAAAATATCCAGAAGAGAATACACTATTACAGGAGAGCAGAGGATTGCAGAGTTTAGGCTATAGTACAAGTTGATTGTAAGTGCAGCTTAGATTTTAGTAGACACATGAGCACATACGCATGCACCTTTTTTATGTTTTAGATATATTTCATATTTTTAAGATACTCTTTTGTTTTCCATTGAATTATTTTGGCCTTATTTTTTCAAAATTCTTTTTCCCATTTCACACTTTCATATAACGTACACCAGAGCAAATTGTCTTTTTTGATCACAAAGAGAAGTAGATGAATTTAAAGTTCACTTTTACCTTGTAAAAGTATTGATCTACTCAATTTTTGCACATTTTCTAAAATTATACAATGTATCTGTCATCAGGCTGTATACTGTATAGTCTCCCCTGGACAGGAAGTTGGTTAATACTGACCACTATGACCAGGTGGACAGACAGAGAGAGAGAGAGGGGCAGCCTGATGATAGATACTGCCAGGAAGATATGGCAGAAATTAGTCCAATTAGTCCTTGGATGGTTGGTGGAATGGTTGAAGAACTCTGTATAGATATTGTATAGACTTTGCTATGGTTATGGTAGATACTTTGACAAGGTGTGGCTCTGGGGAGTGATGACTGATGATTTCAGGGAGATATGACAGACATAAAAAACCATGGTCATGGCCTTGTTTAGGTATTTGTTGTAAGTTGAGAAACCCTTGTCTGGAATTTTCCCCAAAATAATTATAATAATGATAAAATGTTAAGTGACATTTTCAAGATGTGTCAGCTAAGGAAGTCATATAGTTAAGTCCACTTCTGCAGAAAAATGACCCTTTGAAATTACTGGCTACAGGTCTGAACCATCTGATACAAAATAGAAAACTAAAATCAGAAATAGCCTGACGGCCATCATTAAGGATGTAATGGAATCTCTGATATCAACATTGCCGGTGTCTTAATTAGAGCTGAGGCAGGCCTCCACCTGTTAAAGTCTGGACATAATTGAATTAGTTATAGGTGGTGAGTGTTGTCTGCTTCAGGTGGGCAGTTTGGAATGGGAAAAGTGGGATATTTTTTTCCACTTAAGAATAGTAATAATAAAATTTGAAAGAGAAAAAGAATCATTGTTTGGAAAATTTCTTTAAAAAGTGATGGACTGTGTGCACTATGCAACCAAAAGAATACAGTTTTGTTGGTGCATGTATGAAAAATATAAACCTGTTGCTGAAGTGTACTTGAAGGAAAAAAACATTAAAAATCCTTGCAAAATTATATTCACTTACAAACCGTGGAATTTTGATAACTTGTTTTCATTGCAAATTATATGACATTGTCTCACAATACACAAAAATTACTCCTTTTTGTATCCAACCTGGATATGCCTGAAACCATCTCCATTCTTTTGTTTATTATTTGTGTTTTAGCACCAGTTCTGGTCTGTTACCTTCTTGTCACCCATTTTAACCTAGAAAGATTCATGTCCCATGCTTCCTGGCAGTGGCAATAACAAAGTGCAAGTTTTCAAGACTTGTTTTCAGCAAAGATGCCAATCTAGAAGATATGTGAGAGAATGTGGTGCTTAATTTAGATTCTTCCTTACAAATTTAACACTTGAATCTACATAGATTTTGTATTTTGTATGATACAAAAAGGTTTCAGATGAAATGCATATTTTTGTATAGCAGGATGTGGATGAAGAAACTTCATGGATTCTGAACATTTGCATTAAATCTTGTGGCAAAATCAAACAAATTACTATTTTGAATAAAATCCACTTGATTTTCATTAAACCCACCAAGTTAAATTAATGAAGTGTGCAGTCAAGATTATACATTAAAGTTTTATCAAACAAGTGCATGTTTAATCATAATCAAGATTTTCCTTCAGATTTAACATATAAGCCATCAGAACAAGAACATAAAGCAGAGTGGCTGAGGGTGACAGGATCATTTGTCAAATCTTTCCTCTCAGACGGCAGTGTTAAGGTCCATTGCTTCTACCCTGGTCTCTGGGGGTATATCACCAAGATTCTGTCTAGAAGGAGAAGACAGAACAAGACTGGGTTTATAAGGATGCAATGAAAAGATATTTTGAAAAGAAGAAAAAAAAAAAGGACAGTGGGACTTAAGAGTGGAATTATGTAAAAATGCAAAAAAAAAAAAAAAAAAAAAAATTATAATAATAAAAAATAATAATTATA